TGATCTTCAAAGCCGTGTACAACCAGTTTGAAAGCTCCTTCTAATGATACTCCTCACGCAATGTTGTAAACAAATCTGCTACCGTTAGCGTCATCTCCATTTGCTTGAAGACATTGGGCTTGAGATGAAATATCACAATACTCACCATTTGGTATTGAATGTCATTGCAATCATCATCGTTACTTTGTCGGGTTGTGGCTTAAGCACTTTGCACAAACCTATAGAACCAAGTACACTAGTGACTTGTTACTCCCACAAGACATAATCATCCTGTCCATCAAATTTTTCTACCTCAAACCTCAAACCGTGGAACTCCAAGCTAACTTACCGCCATCGGTCATTTTCTCTCCTGAAACGTAAGCTGAGGCTAGTCGGCTAGTTGTGTCTTCTTCTTCTTTTGATGCACTTGAGTTTTGTTTAGATCGCTCAAATCGATCATTTTTCGAAGAGTTAGAAAAAATTCTATCTATACTTCCAACACTTAACCACAAAAATGGTCAAAAAATGAAATTCTTGAAATTAAAATCCAAGGTCATTCTTGCATATTCCACAAGATAATCATTAGAGTGTGAAGACGCTTTTTCATAATCATCTCCGGGTAAAAAGTTATTAAATCCAAATTGAAGGGGGTAAAAACTTGAATCTGAACCCCAAGAGAATCTTTAAGACAAAAAATTCATTAGTTGTTCATTCCTTAAATTCGTCTTTTAAATTGCATGCTCAACTTGCCTAAAGACTAGCTTATAAAATTTGAGCTCAAAAGGAGGATGTTTGCCCGGTCAAATATCCCAAAATTACAAAAAATCAAGCTTGCTATTTTTTACTTTTTGGCCAAGATTCTTCACGGGGGCTTATTAACTTGTGAAGATGCCTATGACTTCCTTTTTTTTTGGCTCTGACCGATCTGGTTGACTTAGCAATCCGCCCGAAATGCTTTTTTGCCACCTCAAATTTTCTTACCTCTGCAACTTGCCGCTCTGAGTTCGCGTCGCCTGCTCACTGTATTGCCACCATAGCGAAGCTTAACGCCAAGCTTTAAACGTTCAAAATTTTGCGACCACTTGACCATATTTGACAAAATTTAGTTCAAAACAATAGTCTTAGAGAGCCTATCAAGCTTGAGCTAAATAGCTAATTCCGGTGTGATAAAGGTGCAGTATATCATGAGAGAAACTAGATCTGTCCGATTCCGTTGGAACTCTGCCTCTGATTCTTTCCGTCATTCCTTCGGTTTCTTCTGGCCCTCGTTCACATCTGCTTTGCTCACGCTAGGGGAAACATCCCCTCGCGTCTTTATGCCGTAAGTCCCTTTCACTTTCTCAATTCGTGTCGTCCAATTTTTCTCTCAAAGCCTTCCAGGTCCCCACTCTAGACACAGATAAAAAGATGAAAGTACAACGCGGGAGGTTCAATGCTACGTTCCGACCCCAGCTGACATTCCATGGCCTTCTTGAACCAACTACTCAGTGAACAACCGAATCAGAGTCTTACGTAGATGAACAGAAAGGTTACAGTTTGCATGTAGGAGACATGTGAACCTAAGAATATATGTCACTTCTACTTCTGACTGAAACCTGCTCAGTTTTGAGAGAAATGCATTCAGACTTTCCATCCTAAAGGGATGACATGCGAGGACCATGTACACCTTGTTCTCAGACATTCCAGTACAAGTAGGAGTGCCCTCACAGAAGAGCACAACAAGTAGTTCGTAGTGTACGATTGCAAAGAGATGGAAAGTCATCCTTTACATGCAAAAAGGACGAATGAAGAAAAAAGCTCACAGATATCGGTAACAAACCCCAGACATTCCATCCTAAAGCAGTGACATACGAAGGCCAGGCCACCTTGCTCTCAAAAATCCCAGTGAAAGTAGGACTGCCCTCGCAGAAGATCACAATAAGTAGTTCGCAGTGTATGATTGCAAAGAGATGGAAAATCCACTTGAAAAAAAAAGAACGGAGAAAAGCTCACAGAACTCGGCAACGAACCCCAGACATGCCATCCTAAAGCAATGACATACGAAGACCATAGCCACCTTGCTCTTAAAATTCCCAGTGAATGCACGACTGCCCTCGCAGAAGAGCCCAAATTAAGGAGTTTGCAGTTTATGATTGCAAAGAGATGGAAGATCATGGTATACATGAAAAAGGATGAAAGGAAAATAGCTTCCAGAATGTGGCAACAAACGTTACAGATGCCTCTAAATCTCACCTCCGTGGATATCTTCGCTCCAAGGTGCTAGTTTTAGACATTATGGCTGCGGTCGAATCGATTAGTTCGGAGATGGGTGCCGTAGTTCATCGGCTCTGGGTGGTGTGTTATGGAACCAGGTGAAACCGAGACGCGTCAATTGCTGGTTGAAAACTATTTCCATTTACATCTGTGACAGACTTTCTGATCCTCAGCAAAGCTGCTCAATCTGGAGACCTGGAAAATATATAGCAAAAAATTCGCGGCCATTGGGGCTTTTATGCCTGAATTATACATTGCAGGATTTTCAAATCTGCTGATGTTGTTAACATGGCAGAAACTATGATTTCCGTCTTTGATTCTCATTCGCCTGTGCTGCCACTAGTTGTGTATTTAAGGGAAGTATGTCTTAATGTTGTGAATGGGATCTACACTGTTAGAACCGTATGTCATAATGTTGTGAATGGGATCTACACTGTTTGAACCTAGATCACGAATGAGATGAGAACACTCTGATCAGAAGAAAATACTACAACAGGACAATTAATCGAGCAGCTAGACTCCATGTAGAGCTGAAACAAACTCAAAGGTAAAGTCTGCCACATCTCCAAACTCCGAAACTTATAAAGCTTTGCAAGTGAAACGCTGACTAGCCAAAGACCTCAAGATCTGCAGACGGCGAGGATATTAGTGATGACTAGGTCAGTGTACTGTCACAAATCTGCAACTTGATTGAGGTTTGTTCTGTTTCCAAAAGCTCAACATGACGGTGACACCAGAACCGTATTACGAGTTAAGAGTTCACAGTATTTACTAGGCTCTACTCTATTTTCATTGTCATCTGCTGAAGAATAATCGTTGAAGCATCAGTTGACAAGTGACACCCCTTGACTCATCACGATAAACGGAGCATATCGGCACTCCTCGAAGTCTGGGAAGAACGAATCAGCCGGCTGGTGACAAAGTTGGCCAGCTCTTTCATTAGCATCGTAGAGTGAGTGGAGACATCCGCCTCCTACCAACTGCGGAAGGGGTGGTACTCGTGGGTCCTTGAAGTGTCCTTGCCATCAAACTACCTTTATACCACTGAGGGAAACCGTCGAATTATGTTAAACAATACACTTGAAGTAGGGAAAGAGTACAGCATCCGGTTCAGTGAAGATATACCTGAATATGTGATAAATATCTCAGAAACAGCCAGTACCTTCCTTTGACGACACTGCACTGAAGATCCCAGTGCAATGAGCTATTCTCTCGAAACCTATTATGGACAAACTGGGACGAGAGAATCAGCTGCGCTAATGCCTATTTGGCCAGGCCTTGGATTGGTCGACCTTAATTTCGAAGCACGTTCGGCTAGGTCCCGATAACCATGCTGACCAGCTACAGAGGGTGATAACGATCTTCAAAGTGGAAGGCATTAAGCTTGACACCTTGCAAGCTTGTACTTGACAGCCCACTGAGCTGTCATCAAGTTCTGTCCTTACCCTAGAAGCACATAGGGACTCCGAAAACTTTTAGTGCATCGTAAAGCAATGAGTAGGTGAGTTCTCTACTTGCTCAAAAATATACAGAGCAGCTGGAAACAAGTGGTTTCTGAGAATCTACTGCGCAACTAACATTTCGTTGTTCAAAACATGGGGTATATTTTTGTCGTCTTTGGTTCTTCCACGCATAGTTTAAATCCACTACAGAATATGCATTTATTGATTAATGGAAATACTTGTATTCATGTAACAGTCCGGGCTGAACTAAGGTCCGCTTTCACAGATTCATCTGGATAATTCAAGAAGAAAAAAACAAAGGAATAGATTACTCGACAATCCGCAGCAGAAACTATAATTCGGGTAGACACATCTGATCGCTTCGTAAAGCTACTGGAATTCCAGTAATCTTTGCTAGAATGATTCCCGGGAACTAGAACAATCATCTTTGCAGCACAATACATTCGATGTGTTCTTTGGCTGTAACCAGCAGTCTCTCGGTTAAGCTTTTGGTACATTTTCGTTATGACTCGTCATTGTGGGCACCTTGATTAGTACGTCATACCACCAGACCCAGTCTTCAATCTTTGGCTAATTTGGGCTATTACGGCATTCATATGATTCCTTGCTACTCAACCTCATCAAAGTAAAGCAATCTCCTCCTTGTTGATCTCTCTTCATTAATATTGTCTCTCTGCAGCTCTACCACTGTACTCCACTCATATTTGTAATAGACGGAATATCTGCCATGCAGCTGTTAGTTTACTCCTAACCTTTGTGGATGACAAAAGGTAACATCTGAGTGACGACTAAAACCCATGATTGTATCTATGATAGATTCACTGCTGACCCTCAAATTTGTACGATTTGAGATGCAAGTATCATTATATTACTTGCATTCGCGTGTCATATACAGTATCCTGCTATAGCCACACGGACCATGGACATAACGGGCCGTAAATTTCACTATACAAGGTTGTGCAGACGCTCGACGATGATAAGCATGCAAACGGTTAAATAAAAATCATTAAATGTAAGAGCCAGAGCCTTCAAGAGCGTTGATTGCTTAGATAACAAGCACACTAGCTTGGGGAACGAGACAGAGGCACAAAATTTTCAGACTGAAACCCGGGTCCAAGTGTGGGTAGTGTTTCTTCATCCGGAAAACAAGACCGAACAGCTATTCGGCCTGAAAATGAAGCATTTCTTAGTGAAAAACATGCTCGTTCTGTTCCGACGGAGACTTCACAAGATTAAAAATGCCATATTGACACTCGTCCAGTAGTTCCACAAAAATTAACAATGCTCATGTATTGCCCAAGTGTCCGGAGTGAAAAAAGGATGTGACAGGATGTTTATTTCTCAAAAACCATGACATCAAACTCGGGGACAACTTTATTCATCTACAAAAATAGAAAGTTACTGATAAGAGGGGTCTGATCGTACTCGAGAAGTGAGTGAGCTTGAGACTACACTCAAAAAAAAGGGGGGGAAACAGAAACAGAGATATATACCCTTCCTTGCTATGATCAACTCCTCTATTCTTACCAGAATAATTCTTTTCACAAAATGCTTTGAATGAATTTCTATCAATAAGGGCTCTTAGACACAATTTATATTTGTTTTGGCGTATGTACAATGACCACTAGAAGTACAACCTATCAAGATTGGAACCTGCTGGTCTTCAACCTTGTCTTTGATGGGATATATCCAATCATTTAACACACAAATACGAAACCTTCACCCGTAGAATCGAAACTTACAAGGATTTGACCAAGCTTAAGACAATCAAGACCAGTAGCACAATTGCTAAGAGCATCAAGCACATGCACATAACAGAGCAGCCCCTGTTCGAATTCTTGTTGAGAATCCCAATTTTGCGCTGTGCAGCCTGCAAGCAACCCAGAAGTTAAACGAGAACGTCCAGCGAAAATCTTTGAGAGACGCGTCAGCGACACTACGAGATCAAACCAAGTAACTAAAACTACAGCCTTTGTGAAATTTTTTTCCAGTCAACCTCTATCGTGCAATCGCGTATGTAAAGCTCAAGTCAGTAATCGCTAGACTTGTTGAGCAGCACTAGATGTACAGTTTCTAATTACAAATATTGTACCTTGAGTCGGTTGTTGGTGTCGTCTGCATCCTTGTCCAAATCATTCTGAATGAAGCAAAACATTGTCCCAGTAGCATGTCAGTGGAGAACTCAGTAAAAACCGCGTCAAATTTGCCACAAAAATGAGAGTGAAAGCCTTCCAGCTCAGGGCAAGGAGCTTAAACACCCTCACCAAAACAACTAAATAACAGTTTCAGCCTTTGTCAATCTGATGCTTATGCAAAAAAGGTACTTTACCAGTAGGTGATTTTGCAAGTCCAGCTCCTCGTGGACTGCCAAAGCAATGTGCTTTGTGCTGGTGACAGTTGCTTCCAGACCAGCCAGATCGTCGTCTTGTGCTGAACGTGCAAAAGAGAAGAGACAACTTAGTGACAAAAAATTGGAGATTCTTGCCGCAATTTCTAAAGCTAGAAATCTGTACAAAGACCTATCCATCGTCAGAAATTAGTTACACAAGGTGCAAGAAATGAGAACATTTGTATTTGGTTTCTTCTCCGCCTAACCACTTACAATAATCTGTTTTCCTACATACACTTTAAGTTCTTTAAATAACCCTATTCCACCCCAAAAGAAGCAAAGAAACAGCGTTGCAAACTTGGGAGGAAAATCACTCAGGAGTTGACCGCAACTCCTTCCTTTTTCTACTATGAAGAGCAGTAGTTCACCCTCATACCACAACTTCTTCATATGCGTAACTGCGACGAGAAGGTCCACAAATCCATTAGGTCAAATCACAACGAAGAAACCACACCTTTCATTACTTGCTTCTGCATGTTGATAATCCCGTAGTTATCGAGACCTGTAGTCCTACTAGTCTCCTCCGGTGGTGCTGATCGGGAATCAGTTCCCATAAGAGTTGCTCTGAGAAATTTAAGGATGTCAGTCAGAGGGCATATAAGTAAGTTTTCCTCAAGTGATTTACAGCCTGCCTGAAAACTGATAGATAGTGGTTCGGCAAGCATATCTCTCTCCAACGACTACATTTATAACAAACATCCCGAAGAAAAAAAAAATCTCCACCACGGTCGAGCTACCGTGTAGCTAACATACAGTCCATCAAAATGGAGATCTTGACCGGGATATCGAGCGAAGCACTATGAGCAAAGTCTAGATGTAGCTCAAGTTTCGATATGAGAAATTTACGTCAAATGATAAGAGCCGAGGTTCCGGAAAATGAGTAACGCACACCAAGAACACATATTAGAACCAATTTTCAACAGTCATTTAGAACAAGCAGCAGTAGAGATCCTCCCAAACCCCTGTCACTACCCAAAACATGCGTAGAATACCTATTGGAAGGCTGAGAAGTGCTCAAAGCTGCTGCCATTTGCTTGGTCCTGAAGCGTATACCCAGTAGCATGTCCTGGCGGCGATACATCTCCTTCTCGCTTCTACAGCACAACATTACGGATCATGTAGATGAGAAAAAGAGAAACACATTTTCTAGACAACAAAATATGGCAACTCCAAATCCAGATGATCGTTAGCACCAGATTGACAATGCATCCTTTCCCACTCACTATAGATGTGTAAAACAAGAAAGAGGCTAAGACAGTCGTTGGAATTCGGAAAGATACTGAAATTGAGATGTACGGCAGGACCCCTCGTGGCAAGTTGGAAACAAGACAAGATAACGCATGCAAGGTTTGCGGCAGCTTAAGCATGCTTAAGGCAACTGCAAATGCTAACGAAACACGCTCACCGTAGATATAAAACAAAATACAAATCCGTGAGAGCTAATATGAGATCCCTCCATCAGTAAAACTCTCGCAAATATTTCTCGTCGGACAATAAAACGAGAGTAAGGTCATGTGAGATTCTTCGAAAAGACAGAGACCAACAAGAAGTCTTCGTGAATGTTGCTGCGATTTTGATGCCATCGAGAATGTCAAAACATAGGTCTGTTTCCCACTTCCGAAAAGCTCCACCAGTGTCACGATCCTGAAAGCCCTGCAGGCTAGAAGATCTTCACGACGGCCATCGCAGAACGAAAAACGAATTTCAATGGTGAGATCGGGGCTTACATGCTCGGTTTGATGGGAGGATTTTGCAGAAGAGATTCCAGCCGATCAAGCTTCGTGCCAAGCATGGTAATTTTCCTGCGTGTCGCTGAGACGAGGCGTGTCGGATCATTGCCGGACGCCAGCATCATATTTCTCTCATTAATTCGGGCCAAGATATCGTCCGCGAGCCGCATGGCCTCCTCGAACTCCTTCAGCCATGAGTCCGACGCCGCTTGCGCCATTTCGATATCCGCCACTGTGTCACTCACCACTCTCGCTCTTCAAACCTCCTTCTACACCCTGACCTGATCTACCGCCACCAAACTATCCCTGTCGCGTCGCCACCATCAGCAATCCATCCAACTCGTCGCAACAAACTCCACACCGTCGCCCTTTCCCACTCTTCTCATTCCCGCATCCGCGAGCGCCTCCGAGCCCAAAACCTCGCCCGCGCCAATCAAGAATCACCCGATCAATCAATCGATCAATCAGTCAATCAACACCCCCACGACCAAACCGTCTACCCCTAATCTGGATCTCCAGATCTCACGACACGAGAAAACCTCGCTTCCGAAGCACACTCGGCTCTGCAGTCCGCCCTCCCACTCCCACTGCCACTGCCACTCAACTCCACTCCAGTGCCCTCCCCGTCCTCCCCCGTGCCTGCCTGCCTGCCTTCCTTCCTTCCTTCGGGCCTCTCCCCTCGCAGTCTACCCCTCGGTCCTGTTCGCGTGCTCTCCTCTTCTAACCCTCTGCCTGCCAACCTGGAAACCTGCCACCGGAGAGAGAGCGCGACAAAGCTGATCTCGTTTCAACGGCAAAAGAGAGGGAGACCGGCCTCCCGCTGCAACAAGAAGCGCTTCTTGCTGGAGCTCTCCCCCCCGCTCCCGAATATGCGATCGATGCGTTCGTCTCCGCCGCGGAGAGAGGAGCGTACGCCCCCGAGAGAGAGAGGAGAAGAGAGGATGCAGCGCCAAACTGAAGGCGGGCTTCACTTGGAGGCCTCCATCGCTGCCTCGGTCCCTCCCCTCCCGTCGCCTGACTGACGACCGACCGGCCGACCGACCGAAGGTGACTGCGTGGAGAGCGACCGGGCCCACCACGTAGGGCGTCGTTTCTTCCTTCCTGTCTTCCCTCACGCTTTCTGCTACGGAATTACCAGCACCACCCGCACTGCGGTGCACCGGTCGTACCTCGTACCTCGTACCCTCGCACGCAAGACTGGGATGGACATGGACCCTCCCTCCATCCCTCCTCGCGTCATTCGGACGGCGCCCCGTCTGCATTTAGGACGCCCGCGCGTCGTGCGTGTCGTCGTGCGTCCCCCGCCCCGACGACGACGACGAGCGGCCCTCTACGCTCCGCTGCTTTCCGGTTCGAATTCTGCACTGTGCGCCGCTCCTCGGGTTTCGCGGCCAGCCCCCACACCACTCCCCCACCACATGATTTTCAAATTCAAGCGCATCCGGGTCCCTCATTTGGGCCCTCGACATTTCATTTCCCCGTCCGCTTCGCTTCCGACCGCATGTTCATTTGCTCTGCATTTTTGCAAACCTTTACTTGTCGCGGCCCGTCCTCGGGTAGAGCTACAGTGTGGAGTTCAGGGCTGGCGGTCACTGAATTTGAATTTTTATAATGCAATCGCCAATAGCAGTTTCGTAGCGGAGGGTCTGGATTATGTGGACTCCCCGCGCAGTGACCCATTTGGGTTCATCATGCATCGCTTGCAAACTCTGACCGAGCTGGCTTTTCTTCATTACCTGGTCCATCAGGCGCAAATTCCAGAATGTTATTCTTTCTACTGTTGAGGGTTTTAGATATTTTGGTTTACCCCTTGAGATGTTCGGGCGTCTCGGTTGCCAGCTTAACAAGTTAGAACTATGCCTAACCACAGTTATAACTAACCTGACGTGCACATCTTCATCCATGTTGAGGTTTATTCCTTTTGAAGTATCTGTGTGAACTTACAAAGTTGTCGAGATTGGACTATTAAATGAAAGTCTGCTAGAGTGTTCGCAACTGCACCTTATAGAGTGTAAAAAAATTGAATTGTTCACCTTGTATTGGACATGTAAGGAAATGCGTTGGATTCCAACGTGGACCATGGTGCACTACCTCCAAATGGATAACAGCTTGGATATATGTACCACTTGTATACGCGTGGAGAAGGCGAAGATGCCCAAATATTTAGGGGGATATAGAGTAAATAAATATGTTACACATGTAGATCTACTTATCCGATGATTCCATCACCAAATGTAATGTTCGATGACATGCAGGTGTCGTCGAAAAACATAGAAACGATAAATAAGATGGATCACGTTAGTAGTTCTCACTGTTGAGAAGTGAGTCAAGCGAGAAAAATATGTGATACATGCAAAACCTACGCGATTATGCACAATTTCACTATATGTCAGTTGTATAGTTGTGCATCATTTGAGTTTTGAGGTACACAATTAATAATTTTGGACAGAATTGTAAAATCCTTGGACCGGGTGCGGCCTTGAGGTCTATGGTCAGCCTTAGCTGAGCGGAGCCTTCTATTTTGGAGATACCTCTAATGGCTACGAGAGAAGGCCAGTCTGGAAGGGTGCTGTGAAACACGTGTGCTAGAGGCTAAAAGAGACATATGATGATATGCTCTTCTGCCCAGTGGACGGACAGGATGTGCTCATCTCTTTCGGCCAAGTGGCAGGTGGCCAGTCCTACTTGTAGAGTGTCAAGGTCGTCCTCGAGGCATCCGTCAGACCTGCCTTGTACCCACGTCAAGGGAATCAGCCAGTCCAGATGTTTTTGATTCCATGGTTCGTCGGATTGCCCCATAAAATTCCTCCGCGGTGTCCTCAAAAGTATCAAAGTGCAAGCAAAAATCAAATAATTAGCTCACGAAATTCGCCACAGTCGCATCCGAAAGACGCACCGAACAGAATTTCATGAAAATCATGACCTCATGCTCTGATCGTTTCGGCCGTCGTTGCTGGAGTTGGGCAACGCCGTTCGTCCGGGCAACAACGTCCAGTCGTGCAACGAGCGATTCGCACGACGAATGCGTGACACTGGGGATCCACCGGCTACGTCGCTCTACGAGGTTAGGTGTCCCGCGGTGCACGCTGGAACGGAGCGAGCACCTGACCGACCACGTCAGGCGGCATGGCAGGCAGAACTGACGTGGTCGCAGTGCAGGACTGCGCAAAGGCTGCCCAAAGCCCTGGCAGCACTGGCCTTCACAAGGCCCATCGCACGTCGAACACGGAAGCTCTTCAGATTCCTGCCAATGCCGAATGAACGTCTGTCTTCGAGCCCGGCTCTGCCTCTGGCTCTAGACACTCTTTAGCTTTTCCTGAATCTCTCGCACACTCGGGCTCCCTCGCAGCGAAGCTCGCGGCTTTTTCTTCTCGGCATTAGACAGGAAACTGGCTATCACACGACGCAACTACATCGGATGCCGTGGTTTTGTTCTTTTCGTTCCAAAGTGCGATGTCTGTCATCTGCCTACTCTCAAGTAGACCGCAAATGTAGGCACTTTTTTTGGGAACGAAATCGGTGTATCTTCGGCAAAAGATCTGTCAGACGAACTCGCATGTAAGTCATTTGTGGTTGGACTTCAAACTTCTGTTTGACTGGACAATCGCTCGACGGTGACAGAAAGCTTACAGGCAGTTGGAGCTTTATATTACGGGAGTTTTGTGACTACGAGACTGACCTCTCGGCCAGTCATCTTGGCGTGCATTCCCAGATCACGGACAATGGATCCGGTGGGATGTCCACTGACTGCATTGTAAACACAATCCGGCACAATGAGCACAGAGGTTTAAGTCCCACTGCACAGCTCAGTGAACGGCTGGGTGCATTGGAAGGGACTGAACTCAGACTTGGAATATAGTTCAGTTCGTTCTCAGGCGACTGGCTTATTTGTTTCCAGATCTTCGGATGAAACTGATAAAACAGGAATACCGAGACTCATTTTGTCGCTGCCTATGGCGTCGTGGTGAAGTCATCTATGAGAGAGAATTTAGGAAGGAAATTAGAACCTACTCGAAATGCCTAAACAAGTGAAAGAAGCATGGGCATGACACCCTTTCGGCGACTCCTTTAGCGATTCCTCCACTAGCGCATTTAGATATCTGGACGCATTCTTATGGATGAGCTTCAAGCCCTTGCCTAGCGAGCACCGTCTCTGCTCGGTGCTTTTTACGTCAACTTTCAGGTGCCCATGGCCGCTAGCATCTGGTTGCAGAGTCATTCCCACGTACCGTCCTGACTAAAGAGATCTATCCTCTTCTCGCGTCCCTATGGCACCTCGGAGCCTCGCAACTCGTAAGGAATAACGCCTAGTGCAATCTCCCCCTGCGGTGCAAGGACTTTAGTGGATCGTTCCAATAATGTTAATATCTGGTTTGGAATCTGATTTTTCATGTCGCCTTTCTTCCCTCGCACAGTACTTGAAAGGTGGAGAAGATAACGTGCATGACTTGGTGTCCTTCCCTCTCGGGCTCCAGACCTGCACTGCTTCCGACCATCACTGCTTTGTCTTTCCACCTACTATGGATTTTGTGCAAATGGTGGACTCGAAGATTCTATTCCCAAGACTGTACGATGTCCTCGATTTATCATGAACTTCAGTGTCTGCGATCGGGTACAAGCACCTCCCTGTCAGCTACCGAAAGACAAATCTCCTTGGAACCTTCTGTTACTCAGTCTTCTGAGCCTCCTATCTAATTCCAAATGTTGTTGGTTCTTGATACATGCACCAGGGGACACCCAGAGACTTTTGTATCTAGCTCATTTCTCGAGAAGCTCCGTATACGAAAGGCTGAGAAGATCTTATTTTACAGGCCTCTTGTGGTTCACTACAAGAGGCATTTCTGTACAATGCCCGCTTTAAGAGCAGATGTTGAAGCAACTGTGGGCTGAAATTGTTTCTAATCCTCTTGTGACTCTGTTGATGATGACCGCTTGTTTTCAGTACATCATGGTCTGACAATGGTCCTAAGAGCTTCCTGTCATTGACAGCAGAAACTTATTTCTAACTTAAATCTCGGCCTAATGAAGATGCTCACATGCTTCATGAGAAGTTGATGCCTTTACATATGATTTTTAGAAATTTGATCTTTAGTGAGTTTTTATATAGTACCTTCGTCAATTACATCGGTGCACCATATTTGCTCGAAGTTTAGCAGTGGCTGACCCCACCCAGATCTTATAATGCAAACTCGGATCGGCACGGATATCTTACAAGTACATTTATGTGTATGCAGTTTCTTGCAGCCCTAGATCAAGTGTTATTCACGATCTCCGACCAGGTTGGTGGAGAGTATTTGTAAGCTAATATACTGAGCGAAACTGGACCCCTACACTATTGGTTAGTACTGGAGGCAGAGACGACGAACTTTTATCATCATTCCCGAACGACCTGTCTGAGTTATTAACAAAATCCGTTCTCCTAAACAGTCAGAAGTGCGGACCTTTTCTTCAATCTACGCACTCGTGGAACCACTGATCATCCATTCTCTGGTTTCAGAGAATGGATCCATAGATTCATGGAAACCAGAGGCTGTAAGGTCATATTTTTCTTGTTCAAGAAAGCACTCAACTGGGACATACCAGTTCTCTTCGGGCAAAACGTATCCAGGCTGAAATGACATCACATGAACATCACGTCCTGCACAAGCAATATAACGAGGTCACTACGCAATTCTCGTCTGATTTTGCTCAGTATGCTCAAAAAAGGCTTGCTCTTACACAAGCAAGAAGTCAGCTTTCTTGTATAGTTTAGGCTACAATAAGACGTCAGTTGGACTTTGGCAATCCAAGTCATAACGACTGAGGTCTGTCGTCCAACCGATGTAGTCTTCCTACCAATTCGAGTACACTCACCTGTGTAAAATGTCCAGCTAACAGGCCTTTTAGAAACAACATCCTCCCTGTAGACGATGAAGTCAGCTTTCGTAAACACATTTACAGTGAAACCATCTTCTTTTTGAGTTCCGAGATATGTTGCGCCTTTGAGCCAAGTTGGAGGCAGAACCCCAACCCCAACATCGAGATTCCTGCAATCGCTTGAAGTCGACCACTTGAGGACTGTCCCATTATTAAACTCCATGTCGTGTACGATTGGTTGGTATTGATTTTTAATCAGATGTAGGTTCCTTCCATTCTCCCAGTCGTAGTAAAGATCCATGAGCCCTATGATGCCGCTAAAATTTTGGTACAATACGGCATAGAACGGCGTAGGCCATGGGGTAGGGGTGGGATCTTCTGCAACAGAAGTCCGTGCGAGGCAGACGAGAGTAATGCCCATGCATACCCAAAACTGCATAATAACAATGAGAGTAAAGGAAAACGATCATGAGTCTTACTCAGATGTCATCGGTACACAGAAAAACGAATACTTTTCGGAATCAGACAGGAAGGAGCAATTTGAGGAAGCAAATTTCGAAATACATTATCATAGGCGATTATTTTTCCACGCTAAGAACCAACTCAGAGGGAGTACTCCAGACTGATTTCTCTTGGAACAACTGGTCACATTGCGAGGAAGGTTTAAGGCAGGCTGACTAAGCAGATAATACTCGAAACCGAGTACAAACTAAGAGTCATGAGTGCTGCAAATCAGCAGTCCAAATTTGTGCTTATTCCCCATTGCAAGAAAGAAGAAACAAACAACTCCTGATCGCACTGGAAACGACTGAAAGATGATAGATGTGAAATTATGTGGAGAAATGATGTTATCAAGTAGCCTATCTTCTGCCCTCGAGATCCAAATATGTGCATGAAGTATACCGCAGCCTGTTGTCGAAACTGCGGCTACGGCATTTCAAAGAGCTGTAGAGTGAAACTGCAAACATTATTTCAAAAAGATGGAAACTTTCTGTTGATCGACCCTTCAACCTGGCCGATACCAGAGAAGCTAGTACATCCAAACAAGTACAGTCCTATCAAGCAGTATCAGCAATCAACAACACTCAGCGAATTACTGGTTTTTCACAAACTTTGTACGAGGGAGGAATTAAATACACAACTGCTTCCCGCAAGCGCTACTATCACAGACATGCAGTCCTTCAGGAACGTATACGCAGTCTGCAGTGTCGGACCAAGCCCTTTGACTCTCTCACTTAAATGGACACCAATTTCCGGCCCCAAAAAGCTGCTATCGTTTCAACATAGCGGAGGGAACTGAAGGGGACATTTAATCGACCACTGGCATCACGTTGCTGATGATATGCTGAGGAATGACGATACGCTACACAGTTTCTCAAAACAGCTGAGCATACTCTGGGCAATATCTTCATTCCTGAGGCAGCCACTTTCTCTCTCTCTCGGGTCAATATTGTTTCATTCCTACCGTAGCCAATGTCACATGTCGTGAAAACAGATGCATTGTGAGCCATTTCATCCTACCTTCGCACCAAGTGGGCTCCATGTTAGAGACATTCCGCGCTTCTCTTCTCCGAAAAACAGACACGCTTTAGAAAGCTGCTCACCGAACGAAAGCTTTCACGTGGTCAGAGTCCCAATCCTACACTCTGCACAAGAGAAGATTCAGTGGTCACGGAGCAGCCCTACAGTCTTACAACAAAGGGGATCAATGTAAGACTACTTTTCCTCCACACGAACGGCGGCATGGGTCTGGGTAATGCAGGCTGACGGGGATACAATACATTGTTCTGTAAAAGAACTCGAGGACTAGCTTGCGTTCAGGAATTTCAGAGAAATTGATGTGGTCGCTTTAATCAGACTGCCAGAGCAATCGCATCGAAAGCAGATGTCACAATCGCAGATGAATAACGAACTTTTGGAAACGTCATGTTCCCGACATCTCCAGCATGCCCGTCGGTCCTTGTTTCTATTTTACAATCATGGAACAATTTGTGATTGGCGGGGTGCACTTCAAGCATTTTCTACGTCCTTATGGACTGTAAAAAAAAAAAAAAAAACAAGCGTGTTCTAGCAACTTTGAAAAGGAATGAATTTTCGAGATATGCCTCATGCTTCTTACCTTGTCTTGATTGATTGAGATGTCTGGACATGAAGATGTGACATGAATGCTGAAGCGCTACGCAGAAATTCTCAGGAGCTTTCCCATCCACGCAATGGACACCAACCCTAGAGCGATTGAGACAATCATTCAGCATCACTTAAATTCGGCATTCGAGACCAATACTTTAGCTTTGTGTGTCACATGTGCTATGGAATCATGAGTGCCACTTGAGTTGTGTTCCCAATGGATGTACTCCTACTGTTATTTTGTCCACCACCGGTACACAGAATTATCTATCACTGTTATGGGACGAAATAGGAATTACCCGTGCCTGATAAATTAATAATATATCAGTAAGTGTTGTCAAGCGAATGAACAGTTAGTGATCATCACTATTCGCAGTCTTATTTTGGAGAACGGGAAGACTACGACCGATGAAGAAGAAATAAATAGAAAAGGACCCTCAAGGTTAAGAATGAGCTCACGAGAGAAGCGCTTAGAAGAGATGTATCCGGTATGTCACCATCCAAACATTTATTAAACCATAGTTTTCTCCTCCTTCTAGCCAACATTCGGACTCTAGGCTTATGATCCAAACAAACGAAAATTCATAATCTACTACTGAATATATTGAATACTGCGCCTAGTGATTGATGAACTCACTAGAAGTAAATAGTTCTGAAATATATAATTGAAGCGTATTTTCCAAAATAGTGGGGCGAAGAATAGTATCAACTATCCAAATGTAGTGAGGGGATAAAATTATGTTTACGATAAAAGGCAATGAGAGAAAAAAAAAAGTAAAAAATTCATATCAGTTTCTTAAAGAAGGAGAATTTAGGAAACCAGTTTTCTGCGCGGCATATCTCAATAGAAGATTTGTAGCTAGTTTGAACTATTTATAAATAGAATTTATTCAAGTTAAAAAAAATCTGAAACTTCCGACTCAAACGATGTTGAATAAGTTTATCTTGTGTTTCACATTCATATGATATTTTATACTTCTCTTAAAATCTATTGAAAAATTGAAGCAATAAAATCATATTTAGGATATTAAATATCCAATGATAATTTTCATTCATGTTTTCGTCGTCAATTCGAATAATAAGATTTCATGTTACTTTGAATCTTATTATCCCTGAAATATAAGAACAGTTTTCTTTTAGTATCAATAGTAGAACCTGGCAGTGCATTTCAGGGATTAATGCGAGATGTAATTATACAATCCAACGCAACAAAAATCGTATATAACGAATTATTTTCGTCAGTATAGTATAATTATATAATTACATCTCGCATTAATCCCTGAAATGCACTGCCAGGTTCTACTATTGATACTAAAAGAAAACTGTTCTTATATTTCAGGGATAATAAGATTCAAAGTAACATGAAATCTTATTATTCGAATTGACGACGAAAACATGAATGAAAATTATCATTAGTATTTTCGTCAGCTCATCATTTGGATTCGCATCCATTTTGTTCCTTCGTTATACACATTTTTGATACACTCGTCATTATTTTCGTTATATACGATTTTTGTTGCGTTGGATTGTATAATTACATCTCGCATTAATCCCTGAAATGCACTGCCAGGTTCTACTATTGATACTAAAAGAAAACTGTTCTTATATTTCAGGGATAATAAGATTCAAAGTAACATGAAATCTTATTATTCGAATTGACGACGAAAACATGAATGAAAATTATCATTAGTATTTTCGTCAGCTCATCATTTGGATTCGCATCCATTTTGTTCCTTCGTTATACACATTATGTTACATTCATTAATACACTCGTGTCCGTTTTCCATTGTGTTACAATCCATCTTCATGGTCGACCCATGATGCTATTCAAGAATCTTGAACGAGGATAACGGAAAGCTCGAGGGGCTGAAAAAATGATACATGACTGCAAAGGAATTCACAATGATAGTCATGGGTAAAATGCATTCCACGATCAAAGTAAGCCTCTAACTCCAATTTCCTTCAAGAATATTTCGGGAAGAACAATAAAGCTGACGCTGCATTCTATCAAAAAATCGGGTAGCTTACTATTATGATAAGTCGACCACTTCCAGATATTCCTCCCATATTAAATAATTCACTGTTGAAAATTTTAAAATCTGCGTGCTTGCGAACTGATGAATACAGTAGCATCAGAACTTTGAAGAGAAAGGAATAATGTGGTTTGATGTCCACGTGTTATTTTTCTCGTTCGTGGGAACACACTTTTTCTCTTCTGACGAGTGAATGATAATCTCTTTGGCTTCAGACCGAAGCTTCAATTCGTTGCCCCACCGGAATAACGGTCGCAAGCAAGCGTAATTACTCGTCGGTGATTGCACAAGGCTTAGGGCAGAGGGAGAGGTGCGTATTCCGCGAGCACCATCGAAGACGATCCGTCGTCGTCTGAAGTAGACCTTTTCTCTAATGCAAATCTCGCGATACGAGTCACCGTCCGGAGTACGCTACTGCGATAACTGCCTTGTAGCGTAAACGCCAAACCACTGTTTTAGGAGATACCTTTGAGCCTGTTCGCACGACATCAAGCCGAATCCTCTGGCCACGGAGATTCAATCTCGTTCACAAATATGGTATCGTGTTTTGTAGACTCCTCCCCTCCGTCTGGCTCGCGGGTATGCAACCCATCTCTATCGGTGAGCGACCTCTTTCCTCGGATTCGCTCGACTTCGGGCTCCTCTGCTCCTCCGCTCTCGGGGTGAAGCAGGTAAGATTGGCGATTTTCATCAGGGTCTTCTTGCCTGTTCAGCGATTCGGCACGGAGTGCATCTGTAGACGGATGTCTCGATTGTAGTGGTTCATGAAGATTGCCGTGTTACGAAGGTGCGAGTCATTGGGAGGCGGTTCGAGTATGGCGCTAAATTTAGGGGCTGAGCTGAAGACTGGAGCTGGGATGATTTGACTAAAAGTTCCATCGTCAGATTGCTCTTATCTGAAGACGGTGTTGGTTCGGCAAGCGGTTTGTGGGATTGCAGAGCTGACAGGAGGCCTGCCCCACCAAATTGAGCTGTGGCGATGCTGACAATTGGCTCTGTGTCCAGTGCTCAGCATGCCCTGCTTCCTTGTCGGCCTCCTGCCGGAACACCCTTCACGTTGGCCTTCGACGCGCCAATTCGATGCTCGTGCTTCCCCACTATCAAGCCGGGCACTCTTTCTGTCAGTCACTACACTCCACCAGCTTTTAATTCCTCCTTTTCTTTCTTTTTATTGAATTCAGTCGATCATATGGTTTGTATTGTTTGAATTCCCGCCGTGGAATCTAATTAGTCTGTGGAGTAGGAAATTTGCTGCACAGTTTAAAGGTATGTAATGGGAAGTGAAGAAGTGATAATCAAGAAACAACTGGGTACGCGCGGAATAGTGTTTTCAAGAAAAGACTTTGATGAAGTTTTCCATTTCATAACAGTGCAGTCCACAACTTTCACGAATTACAGCGGAGTTTAGGTTACACTGCAGTGAGAGCATGCAGCCCTTTCATTCGAAGTTAGTTCTATTTCCATGGAACTAAATTTCCATGGGTAATACTAGGGTCTTTTCAATGTATGCTCGAGGGTTGACAGAATGTCTTCAATCATACAAGGAAACAGGCGCTCAGGAATTGACAGAATAGGCGTAGTGTGATTGTGCCAGGTGAGATGGAATCTAGTTGGCGACGTTAGCACGAGCCACGAGATCAAGCGTTGGAACTTTCAAATACGTTCGGCTTCTGAGGGATCGTCAAAACAACCGGAGTTTGTGTCTGAGAAGTCAATATGGCCGTGTCTTCTTCCTCGGCCGTTGATTTACAGCTCAAATTTTTCGGATGTCGATCCTGTTCAGGTAAGGCTCCCAAGGCAGATATGCATCAGGATTTGAGTGGATAATGTTTTTGAAATTTGTGTGAATCTCGAGTAATGATGGATGGGCATACGCGCATTAAAAAATTTCTCACGTTCATTGTCGATTATTGGATGCAGTTAAGCGAGCTCTGGGCTATGACCCTGAAGGTCAGGAGAGATCCAAAGAAGATTGTCAAAGCCCTGCGTCATAGCTTCGCAGTAATTCCTCCCCTCTACCGAACATATCAACAACTTTTGCACTTTTTAATCCTGTAAGACTGCTAACTAATAGATTGTGCTCAAAGAGAAATCATCAACTCCTTAGTTGACGAGGATCACCTTTTCTCTTTGTCATATGATGTCTCTAATATGTGACTCTCCATTCTTTTCCAGTTTGTAGTTGTGTTGGCCGAGGATGACGAAGTCTCGTCGTCTGGCGTCACCAGGCCTCTGAAGACAGTGGGTAGATTCCTTTTCTTCAATTTTCATTTATGAATGGATATGCTTTAAACATTTTTTTTTTAAATAAAGGTTTATAGATAGAGTGTAAATCCAATCCAAGATGAGTGATTTTGTTTCACCTCCAAGCTTTTGTGTTGTGCTCACAACTTATTAGTAGAAGTTTCGTTTTTTGGAGATTAGGAATAATAGAACTATTGCCTTGATCTGAGTCTATCATTTCGCGTTTACAATGTAAACATCTTGGAGATATTAGTCTCTTAGCTGTACATACTTCTTTGGCAGGGGTTGGACGGGCGATCTCCGATGGAACTTTTATTGTAAGTAACAATCAGTATAACTCTTTCACACCATGGCGGACGTCGTATATGATTTTTCTTTTTCAACCCCCGCCGCCGAAGTTGGAACAACTATCTCGTTGTCTCATGTTCATATTGTCTTGCAGGCAAGCATATGTGATGTAGCTGTTGATCCTGCCTATCAACATCGGGGCATCGGTCGTCGAATAGTTAAAAAACTTGTTGAGGTATGAGTTTCTTGCATTTTCGCAGCTTGAATTGCTATACACGATCAGATCTTGATAGAGCAAGTCGCTTATTTAGATAGAGTAGAGATTTGGTCACTGACCAGCGCATTAGTCCTTCAGGCTTGACGATGGGATAGCTATATCGCTTGGGTTGGTATTTCTTCTCGATGTAGAATCTAGTCCGACGAACTTGATGGGTCAAAACCCGGTAGTCATGAGAACTTGTTGTGATCGCAGAATATGAAGAAAACGGGTGGACCATCTGGCTATGCAGTTTTTCCCCCACCCATAGCTCGGCGATTCTTTTGGATGATAGGTTTCAGGTACTTAATTCCTACTCAATGAGTGTTTCATCTTTCTATCTACAAAACTTGTAGTTGTACAGGTGTGTTCAACAGGCAGGTTTGAGGAAATCCGAAGTTTGTGTGATTTTTACGAGTCCTTCATTGTCCTCGTACATTTTTGCGATTTTCTAGTTCCTCAATCGCTTTTTGAATCATGTGTTAGCGCACAGTTTGTTGGATGTTATCCAGTATTTTCGGTGATGCACATTTTCCCTCAGCTTAAAGGCTTGTTCGCCTTCTTCAGTTCAGCCCTGGTAAATGTTGACCTGGGGTCAGGGTTTGGCTTGATAGACTAATGTTGTATGTGGTACTTGTGTCTTCGAAAACCACTGATAGCACTTAGCATGTTCTGCAGGTCTGATAAAAAGTATCGGCTCATGGCTTATCGAGGGCAAGGTGATGAAAGGGATGTGAAATTAATTCCCAGAGAAAATATCAGAGAAGACAAGGAGCTGGTTCGGAGTACAGAGTAGAAAGTAATTCGAACTCAGGAAAATTGATTAAATCTGTAGAGCAGCATTCGTTCTCAGCTTGTTCGATCAAATACTCACTCAGGTTCTTGATAGTCGCCGTTGCTTGTAAACACACCTGTATACTGTATCTCCTTATAAGAATCGACTACATTTTACCACGATAGGAACGATCTGCGAGAAGCCTGCGGCCTGTTACTGTGTGAATGAATTCTTGATTTCTCACTTCTTGGACATAAATCGGCTCAGCAAATCTTAATCACCACAAGGGTGCTTAATTATATACCCAGCCTAACAGAGCCAACACAGGTGCTTCAAAAGCAGAAAATGAACCTCGAATTACAGCAGCGTCTGTGAAGTAACAAGTTTAGTTTCAATTCTCTGGGAATAAAAGCGAACCTATGGAATATTTGCTTCATAAACTCTCCACACTGTAACACACTCGTTGGGAAGGGTGAGACAACTTGATAAACATCTCGAGGCCGAAGTTACATCTCATCTGACTTAGAACTGTGGACCTCTTGAAATTATGAAGCCATTTGGAGTAGAGGATAACACTATTTTGAGAGAGGCAGAGTGGCATCAGAGCCTTCATTTCTAAAGTCCACACGGTTTATGAACGTTGGTAGAATATGAAGAGCAGGTGTGAAGTTCGGAAAACGACGTGAATCCACTCAACCACTCCTACCTCGGTTCAATCTCAGAAACTTATCCCAACAACAGATTCCGCTGAATTTCCGATGAACAAAAAAGTCGTTCTATAAAGAATGTTTGTTTTCACATCAGGCATGCGAAAACGACCTAATCTTCTTCTCTACGCCTCTAAAAACTCACCAGGTACTGCCAATGAGTCTACTCTTTAGCAAATAACGTACGTACGAGCAACTTGGATATGCAAAACTGTAATATTTGCAAATGATGCTACGAAAGAGCACACGACTGCAAAATTACTGGGTCAGGAATTTGAACAAGGACCTAGGCGTCAATTCGCCCGTTCCGGTCGGCGATTGGGGAGCAGACAGTCGGATCGCAGGCTTGATGGGCTTGAGCGAGGGCAAATACGGTAACGCGCTGCGGCTCGATGGAGCCAGACTCTGGCTCCTGGACCGCGACGCAACGGCGGTCACGCTGGAGCTCCGATGCGGATGCGACGACCGTCTCGACGGACTGCGCCCTCTCAAAGGTTCGCCGTCCGGCGCTCCGGCGCTTCGGCGGCGGTGCCCGACTCGGAACACCCTGCGCTTGGCGTCGAGCGTGGGAATGGGCGGCAGATTCTGTGAAGTAACAAGTTTAGTGTCAATTCTTTGGGAATGAAAGCGAACCTATGGAATATTCTCTTCATAAACTCTCCACACTGTTACACACTCGTTGGGAAGGGTGAGACAACTTGATATACATCTCGAGGCCGAAGTTACATCTCATCTGACTTAGAACTGTGGACCTTTTGAAATTATGAAGCCATTTTGAAAAGAGTATAGCGCTGTTTTTGAGAGAGGCAGAGTGGCATCAGAGCCTTCATTTCTAAAGTCCACACGGTTTATGAACATTGGTAGAATATGAAGAGCAGGTGCGAAGGATCGGAAAACGACGTGAATCCACTCAACCATTCCTACCTCGATTCAATCTCAGAAACTTATCCCAACAACAGATTCCGCTAAATTTCTGATGAACAAAAAAGTCGTTCTTTAAAGATTGTATGTTTTCACATCAGGCATGCGAAAACGACTAATTTTCTTCTCTACACCTCTAAAAACTCACCAGGTACTGCCAATGGGTCTACTCTCTAGCAAAGAACGTACGTGCAAGCAACTTGGATATGCAAAACTGTAATATTTGCAAATGATGCTACGAAAGAGCACACGACTGCAAAATTACTGGGTCAGGAATCAGACCATGGAGTTGGGCGTCAATTCGCCCGTTCCGGTCGGCGATTGGGGAGCAGACAGTCGGATCGCAGGCTTGATGGGCTTGAGCGAGGGCAAATACGGGAACGCGCTGCGGCTCGACGGAGCCAGACTCGGGCTCCTGGACCGCGACGCAACGGCAGGCACGCTAGAGCTCCGATGCGGATGCGACGACCGTCTCGACGGACTTCGCCCTCTCAAAGGTTCGCCGTCCGGCGCTCCGGCGCTTCGGCGGCGGCGCCCGACTCGGAACACCCTGCGCTTGGCGTCGAGCGTGGGAATGGGCGGCAGATTCTGTGAAGTAACAAGTTTAGTGTCAATTCTTTGGGAATGAAAGCGAACCTATGGAATATTCTCTTCATAAACTCTCCACACTGTTACACACTCGTTGGGAAGGGTGGGACAACTTGATATACATCTCGAGGCCGAAGTTACATCTCATCTGACTTAGAACTGTGGACCTTTTGAAATTATGAAGCCATTTTGAAAAGAGGATAGCGCTGTTTTTGAGAGAGGCAGAGTGGCATCAGAGCCTTCATTTCTAAAACCCACACTGTTTATGAACATTGGTAGAATATGAAGAGCAGGTGTGAAGGATCGGAAAACGACGTGAATCCACTTAGCCATTCCTACCTCGATTCAATCTCAGAAACTTATCCCAACAACAGATTCCGCTAAATTTCTGATGAACAAAAAAGTCGTTCTTTAAAGATTGTATGTTTTCACATCAGGCATGCGAAAACGAGTAATCTTCTTCTGTACACCTCTAGAAACTCACGGCTGCAAAATTACTGGGTCTGGAATTTGACCATGGATTTAGGCGTCAAATCGCCCGTTCGGGTCGGCGATTGGGGAGCAGACAGTCGGATCGCAGGCTTGATGGGCTTGAGCGAGGGCAAATACGGGAACGCGCTGCGGCTCGACGGAGCCAGACTCGGGCTCTTGGACCGCGACGCAACGGCGGGCACGCTGGAGCTCCGATACGGATACGACGACCGTCTCGAGGGACTACGCCCTCTGAAAGGTTCGCCGTCCGGCGCTTCGGCGGGCGGAATTCGCCCGGCTCGGAACACCCTGCGCTTGGCGTCGAGCGTGGGAATGGGCACGGCGAGCCTCGCGAGGCTCGCCGTGCCCATGCCCAAGCTCGACTCGCCCGACGGCCCTCGCCGGCCGAGGCCCGCCGCCGTCAGGACGCTTTGCACCGAGCGAGAGACGACTCTTCTGGTTGTGGACTTCGTTGTGGACTTCGTTTTGAGGGTTCCTCTGTAGGGCGATCGCCCGCGCCCCGTGGATACGCATCGTAACGCCCTCCTGCCCCCGCCCCCGCCCCCGCCGCCTGGCCGTCTCTTTCGCGATCCAGGTCCAGGTCTAGGTCTAGGAGCGTGTCTATGACTCCGACATCCCGACCGGTTTCCGAAAGCGGTCATGATTTGATTACCGATAATGACAGGCTGCGAAATCTTCAATCTCTTTATCGATGCAGTTTGAGGTTTGGGTTTCGATGGAGGTTGAGGTTTGGGTCTGGGTCTGGGTTTGGGTTTGGGTTTGGGTTTCCGGCGACCGCCGCTATTAGGAGGTCGCCTACTAGGAGGTCGCCTACGAGGAGGTCGCCTACGACTCCCACTGCGATCTGGGCTTCGATCTCCTCGACCTCGACTGCGTGGCCGGCGCTTACCGCAACCGCAACCTCGTCGTGGACTTTTACTCCTCCTGATCTTCCTTCTCTTTTTGCTGCCCTCCCTTCTCTCTTTGCTGCCATCCCTTCTCTTTTTGCGGACAAGGGCCGCAAAAAGGCCCTTGTCCCTCTTGTCCCGTCGATCTGGACTCCTCCTCCTATTGCAACATGTGCAGTTCTTAGAGTGGCGATATCTTTTGGGGCATAAGCTGCCGGTATTGCTACGGCCTCCGAGTTTTCTGGGGAGACCAGAGCACCTACAAGGGGTGGGCAGTGAGTTTTTCAGTTTCCAAAGTCGGCTTCTGGGCGGGCTCCTGATGACTTTGTATTTGTAGCCGGATTTCTCGAGGCGTTTACTGCGGACTAGCCTTCTGAGCGATTTATGCAGCTGCTGCTCGAACTTCGGTCCCAGCTTGCAGTTGTACGTTCTCTGGATTCGGGCTTGGATTTGCGTTTTGGTCAGTCCTTGCGATCTTCTCCCACGGAAGGCGTCGAAGATAAGATGAAACAACACTTTGTGAGGATTCGCTGGGAACCCTGTGGTCTCAATCGTCATCTTCATATCTCTCATCGACCTGAAGTTTTTCGGGCAGTCCTTGTGATGCACCATTTTGATTCGATTGGACCGGAAAAGAGTTCTGTTGGAATTGATGATTAATTCCTAAACTTTTAGTCACTTCGAGAGAGCAAGACTCGAAGTTGCAAGCGGGGGCTAGCTTAAGTGCCCTCCTGGATGACTTTCTCCAGGCCAATCGATCGAAATTTGCTCCTAAGGACGCAATTTGCTGCATTCGGTCTTTCTGCGCAGTGGCGAGCGCGCCGATTGTAAGTACACGTCCTGAGATTCCATGAATTGATCGATCAATATTCTCAATTCCTTTCCCATTCTGATTGGAATTTCCAAACTACATCGCACTGCGAAGAGATCTCGAGATCTTTCAGCTGGTTTGCGTGTCCATTCTGGAGCAATTCTGGCTCGAATCGACTCAACGATCATGCCCGCTCACTGCTGAGCTCGGGAGAATCGTCATCGTAATCATTCATCAACCACGCAGACGACACGGACCGACGGACCTGAACGATCAGATGAATGAGTGCATTTTTGTGACTCCTAGAATCCGATCGATCGGGAGGACTGGTGGTAGAACGCGGACCTCCATCCCTCGAAAGTTCCGATTGGCTGCCCTCGAGCTGATGATCCGAGGCCGCGAACTTGAAGAGAAACCAAGTGGTCGAGTCAAGAGTCGTGACTCTTGGCCCGTGCGTGCTTTCACACACTCACACAACTTCGTCGATCTCGTGACTTGAACGCCCCATGAGATCCACGAGATCATCCATCCGCGACCACTTTCTACGTTGTTTCAACTCCTGCATGCATGCACGCCGACCGAGACTCCACGAACATCCAGACCGTCAGATTCATATCCAACGACGGACGAATCGATGTTCAGAAGGAAAACTCCAGGACAGGTTCCAGGAGGTCTATTCGCTGAAATAATCAGCTCAGATGAACATACTGCACTCTGAAGTTTGATAGATGGTCTTTCAGCTGTCAGGCCGAGTCCGGCAGCTCCAGCTCTGATAAACTGTTGATCAGAGCTGGATTCGATAAAAATGTTGCAGACTCTACTCAGCTGAATGAGCTTCAACCCTTAAAGAACAATGGTCGATCCGTTTTGAGAATCGAACCTCACTACTTCATTCATCAGCGGTCGATCCAAGTCAGCTTGGACTCAGTCGACAGCTCTGCCGTCAAGTGTGCATGTAATCCAGACGATGAACAATACTCTCGAATTTGACATATCGCCGGCGGCTGGCAGTGGAAAATCCCGTTCAGACGTGACCGTTCACACGTATTCCTACTATCTCGCTCGAACGCCGTCAGATGCGCGGACACGTCAGCAATCCCGAAGCCACAAGAGATCGGACGGCGGAGTCAGGCGCTCCGAAGAGCCCAGCCGAACAGGCAGGACGGGAACGGGCAGGTGCGAAACGATCCATGTGCGGCGGCATGGACGAATGGGACGGCTGGCGCCCGTTCCGGCAGCGGGGTTCTGGGTCTATAATTCGGGCCCCTTCCATCTCACGAGGTTCATAATTCGTCGATTGCGGAGGGAGGAAACGCTCCGAAGGATGTTAGGTCCTTCGACCATGGTGGTGTGTACCACTTGAGCTCGGGCCGAGTGCGTGCCTCGGCGCGTGCACGAGGAGGAAGGAGTTCATAGGAAAAATTCCGAAAGGCAGAAAAGCCAGAAATTGATCGATCGATCGATCGATTGATTGATTGATCGAGAAGGGGAGAGTTTCAAGCATGGCGTCGCCGGGAGACCTGATGAGCGGGGATCCGTCGGGGTCCACCAAGGCTAGAGGGAAGGGGCTGCAGCACCCGACGTACGCGAATCTGATCCACGATGCGATCTCGAGCTTGAAGCAGCGCGGGGGGTCGAGCGCCATCGCCATCCGCAAGAGCATTGAGCAGAAGGTGGGACCCACTCTGGGCCCCAACTACAAGAAGATTGTGGGCTCGACGTTGTCGAAATTGGCCAAGACCGGAAAGCTCATCAAGAGCGGCAACACGTTCAAGCTGAGCCCCGAGTTCAAGATTGAGCATCTGCGCCGGAGACGCAGACGCAGACACCACAAGAAGGGCAAGAAGAAGGGCCGCAGACGACGACGCAAGAGAAGACGCGGCAGGCGCAGGGCCGGAACCACCACTTTGACGGCCTCGGGTGGCGTCGCGGTGGCGCGTCGTCGCAGACGACGGCGCAGGAGAAGACGCAGAAGACGGTCCCGCCGCCGCCGCGGCCGAAAGCACACCACCCGGTCTAGCTCCGCCCCGGGCATCACTGGCTTGCGTCGCAGACGGCGTCGCAAAAGTCGCAGACGTCGCAGGAGGAGACGGAGAAGAAGCAAGGGCAGCCGCTCCCCCCGCCGCCGCCACAGCAGCCGATCCAGCGGCGTGAGCCAGAGGAGAGTCCGACATGCTTCGCACGTCCACATCCATGGCGGGCACTCGCGAGGCGGATCTCCCGACTCGCCCTCCGGACATCGATCGCCTCAGCTCTAGTAGATCCGCCCCGCGGTCGACTTCTCAGACTCTCCGGCCTTTTATGATCATCAGTCTTCCGCATTCTTCGAAGCCTAGCTAGCTTCTTCGATCGATCGGCAACTTTCTAGAGCTTCAATTTTAATCAATCCAACAACAACAAAAATTATTCATGCATTCCTCCGCCACTCCATCCCTTCCCGTTCCATTGGCTGTGCTGGACCATTTCTCTAACCACCCTCTTCTAGCCTCATTCTCTCATTCATGAAGCTCCATGGAACTCAACACAACGTCCAATTTATCTTCTGGCTTGGGTGCTCATCCGATCGAGCCATTGGTCGAGCTTGACCGACGTCCAGTCGTCTGCCCCAGTCCTTTATTTATGCCCGTGACCCCCAATAATTATAACTCAAAAAACCTCTTTCTGTTTGCCTCTCGGACCAGCCCCGTGGGCCATATCCAAGAAGACCAACTTGTTACATATGGAATTATATGTAATAAACTTGGCCCTTCTGAAAGTGTTGTCCGCGTCAGTGACGCCATTCCATCATGTCTCTGAGATATGTAGATCACAGCCCCCGCTCGGATTCCCTAGTCGCCCATGATCCCCTCGCTTCTGTTCCACCATCGATACCTCGTGATTGACCTCAGACCCATACCTTTGGACAATCGAACGAGTGAAGATAGATGCTGCACCAGGTCCTCACCGTTCTTGTTGTCTGTGATGTCCATATACAGAATCGAGATCAATCATTGCAAGTTGCATCGGCTTACATCAATCCCATAATATATTAGATGTAGCACGATCAGATCGCAGTGCGGTCATGATTAGTCGTCTACTGCAACCTGTACGCGTAGGCTGTCGGGCCTTCGCTCAAACTCTGCAAACCATGGGATTCACTGCAAAGCTGACTTAATCAAAAGAAGTTTCCAGAGAGATTTCAGAAATTTCTGGCTGAAACTCTCATTGCACTTATTCACTCGCCTACCCCGCCAAATGGCGACAACACCAGCCACTTGAGACATCCAACGGATAGAAGGCCTCGATGCTTTCCAGAGTGTCAAAGATTATTCTTGTCTATAGAAAATTGACCAAATTCGATGAAAGACTGCGATGATGGCCTTGCTATATATTTGTCCCACATATAGAGCCTCTGCTCTAAATCATCCGCTGCAACTTGACTAGTTGTACGACCCTCGTCTTCGACTGCCTCGATGCTTTTGGCTCCAAAGTCTGGGAGATGTACCTCCCCGTGCCTACAACTCGTTAATTGATCCACTTTGTATAGATCCACGTTCAAGTTTTTGGCGTAGGTTTTTTGCAAAGGTAATTAAAAAACGAGAAGTTTGCAATCGCGAGACTGCAAACTCTGGAGGGCGATTGTGGTAAAAGCGTTTGTATGCATTCGAGCTTGACATGGAACTTGCATTTGCTAGGTAAAGTTTTTAACCTCGTAAAGTCTGTTTCCATGATCTGGACTTCCACCTTCTCAAAGGTTGACTTGCAAAAAAAATAAGATGCTACGACAACTCTTGCGGAAGGCTTTACGTGTGTGTCTATCCAGACATATTCTGCAGACGACAGCAAACTGCTGGCCTTGTCTCAGCTGAAGCAACCTGATGCATCCAATACCGCGTCTGGTCCCTTCGCCTCCCTCTTGGAAGGATTTGACTGGAACACTCTAACTGCTTTCCTAAGTGCTAAGTCTCACATACGAAGATGTGTGGAACATCTTTCGAAAGCAGCAATAATAATACATGTTTATTTCCGGGCAACAAAAATCTGGATCATTAAATTACACATTTTTAGTCTATATTTATACGGTTACAGGTGGAACCCTTGACGTCTTAGAAGTGTTTCCGCCCTCATGAAACTATTCCATACAACCAAATTTCATTTCAGAGTCTATCAAATACGTAGATTGTAATGTTCGGTTTGACTACGGAATTTTTGTAATTCTAGTGGAGACGCCCCACACTGTTTCTATGGCTAGGCCTCATGATGTTGGACTTGCTTTGATCCACTATCTGCAGACAATGCCAGTCCAGCTTCTTCGTCCCCGTAACCAAAGCTTTTCCCCTTTCCTCTATATTGGTCATCTACGTTAGATTCTGAGGCGGACCTTCGATGATCCGGTGGAATGCCCCTGTACAGAGCTGCTGCAACCACAGCTGCGAGAACAGGGGCAAACAAAAAGATCCAAAGGTTGTCCAGTAGCTCTGCTCCTCCGAAAGCTGCAGCAGGACCGATGCATCGAGCGGGGTTCATGAAAGCACCTCCATACCCAGGAGCTATACTGCCAGACACATAGATGCACAATGCTGCTATCATCCCAATGTAGAACGGGGCGAACTGTAATCCCATCAACTGAAACTGCTTGGGGTCCACCGGAACCATGATATTCATGTAGACCAAAATTAAAGAAAATATGAATTCTGAGATGAAGGCCTGGTGGCTATTGAGTCCTGCAGTTGAGTTCCTGAAAACACAACCCGCCAGATGCTTCCTGTGGACTTCTTCTACCGGCAAAAGAGTTTTGGCACACAACGCTCCAACTATGCTTCCGAAGGATTGGGCAAGGATGTACAGAAGACCTTTGGCTGGTGTGTATAGTCCAGATAACACGGCACAAAGGGTGACAGTGGGATTGATTTGTGCATCGCTCGGGGGATTGGAAGCTCGAACGAAAATTCCTAACATCAGGAAATGGAAGAAGGCACTGCCCACTGTAGGACTGCTAAAATGCATGTGACTCCCCATGGAGATGATGATGCTGCCGAAAACGAAGAAGCCCATGAACACCATCTCAATTAAAGAAGCTCGCCATACCTGCAGATTCGTCGGAACAAAGGATGTTATCGATGGAACAACTAATCGGACTAGAATTTAAACGTATTGTTTGTACCAATTGTGTATAATCCTCATGTTCATATTTCATGACACCTGAGTAAGATAGAGTATCAGTCTAAGAGTCAAGGGAGCAATAATTCTTCAGAATGAATCGTGTTTTCTGTCAGGAAACACGATCCATGTAAAATGGACTTGATAGTAAAGCTACTTGAATAGAAGGAATGAAACATGATAGCAGTCACTCACCGCCGATGATTTCAGATCGTGAAGACCCAAAAAGTGCTTCCATGAAATTTTTATATCAACAAAACGCCATGTTTGCTGAGTAGGTGAGTCCTGCAGCTTCATGGTCACCTTCGGCAGTGTCACTGCTAAGGAAGTAGACATAAATGTTGTAGACAATAATAGCAGTAGAGTATATGTGCTCAATCCTGAATCAAACTAATCTGCAGACCGATTGGAAACTCTCCGTTGAAACCTCGGAAGCTGCGTCTGGAGAGTTTCAATAGTCAAGCTGCAGGGCTACATATGTAAAGTTCTGCTTCTGAGTGCAGCACCAGCTGCAGCTCTCGCCCTATCGCTCACTCAGAAGGTCTTCTACTCTGAGGCCATAGCACGTCTTGTGCGCGATTGTAAACTGAAGGTTACATGAGATTGTTCCCAGAAGAAGAACTGAATATGATTTTAGAAGTCCACTGCCTATGTATATGCCAACTGATTGTACCCAAGAGCAACTTGAGAGACCTGAAACTTTTGGCCAACTCACCTCCACTGTCCTCTTGGCACAGACCATCTCCATCGAGCCCTCAAAATAAACCAGGCTGCCATCAGATGGCCAGCATTAGCTTGTCCATTGTCCCTAGTCCTACAGCAGTATCTATGTTCTCCTTACCTGCAAACTCAGCCTAAAGATTCCACTTATCTCGCCCTATCCAGCAGAACCTCGTTTTTCCTGACAGACAAATATCCACTTCTGTAAGTAAACAACATGTATCGAATCATCATGCAACCTCGACAACACCTGAATAACAGATTGTGTTTCCAGGTCTTCTAAACGAATATCAGCGTAAACAATTCAAGTTTGCAGGCACATACATAATGAGATCTAGTTACAACGTAAAAGTCTAGCCTATACAAGCAGATTGACTGTTCGCATGTCTATCAAAACAAAATTGAAAGAAAGAAAAAGGAAGGGCTAAGGGAATCCATTCCAACAGGTGTGGAACGAAAAGCGACAACACGAAGACAGAAAAATGTCAACCATACTGGATTTTTGGTTCCCTGGTTGTTTTCTCGTAATTGATCTCATTGATCAGGTTACGAGAAGTAATGAGAATAGACGGTTTTCGTCTTCTTAGTTTGACGGACCAACTCCACGTGCATATAAAAGGCTGGAAAAATTGATTCGATGGAGATTATGATTGTGAAAACCATATAATCATCAGGACCTCATGAAGCCCACGGACAGTCTGACATGTTCCTGGACTAAGAGATTCTATGCATGTGCAAAATCCACTGATCAAACATGAAAGCGAACTTTTAGTTGAAACTGAATGTGTTCGCGATCTAAGAGATTTCTCTCCTGCATCTTGTGAACTACAGTGGACCGTGTGTATTTTCATCTTGCCTACATGTCTTACGGAGAAAAAAAAACATCTCCACTAGCAAGGGATAACTGCAGAGTCGAATTCCATGAGCAGTGAGATTTCTCCTTCATGCAGCCATACGTGATTTGAAAATTGGTAATGCATCAGGACATATGTTTCATTGTCGTAGTTCTCCGAATGTATTATCCTCCAGAAACTGCGATGTCAAAATGCAAGTTTGATCACAAAATTGGGTCCACAACTTGAAAGCAGTGAACCATACGCAAAAAAGTATATGGAAAGCACACCTCTTGACTTATTTGAAGGCAAATGTTTTCAGCTCCTTCTTACGTGAGGAGGAGCTGAAAACATCGGTGGCATTGTATACAATGTCACCGATCATTTCCTGGTTGTTGTGTTCATTAGTTGATCCGCATTTGCCTTGACGGGATGGACTCCTGCCCACGCAGGCCTGTCAATGTGAGCAATTATAGAGTTCTAAGAAGAATTTATCGATAAATAACAAGCGGAGGCAGAAACCAAAGAGGCGAAGATGCAACAGTATATGCATAGATAACTGAAATGTATGAATCGCTTAACTTCAAGTTGAATGTAAAAACGTAGAGTGTGATGAATATTTGTGGTCGAGACTTCCGTTAAGAGTTTGAAGAGCTCGAGGCACGGGCCTACCACCCACCAACCGACCCATGGCACCAAGCCTCCGTTACTTGCTTCCTACTATCCGAATCTCCGCTGCATGTTGCTGTTGTGAGGTGTAGACCATAATCATTGTATGTGCCTCGCCGTAACTGCACTTTCACACAGGAAGTTCTTCACTCATCAATTCGTAACCATCGACTGGTTTTGTGACCAGGGCAAGAGCACTTAGATGCACATGCAAAATCACTTAGTTCTCCAGCACCTGCAGATGAAAGGACGACTTGGGTTATGAACGAGATCTTCAACTACCCCTGAAACGCGCTGCCGACCACTTTGTTCGAAGACTTTATTCCAGGCCACAAAATTGAGGCTGCACGTAGAAGCTGCAGCAAACAACATTTGGCAGTAGAATTGCACATGGTTGCTCAATGAAATAAATGCATGGCCGCTGCATGTGGCTTTCGATCTCAGCCATTTAAACTATATCGATCGACTTGTAGCTTCAGCTTGTCCGCGAGACTGTTGGATTACAAAAAATTGTGCGGACAGATTTCTATCAAGACTACTTCCACTGTTACAGTACTTCGTAGAAGATCTCCTTCATGATCTAATTACTCTGTCATTATTATTTACTGCAGTGCCGTGGCCAATATCATCATACTAATTTTAGGATTTAGAGTGTTCACTCTACATGCAATTCTTTAGAGTGTTCATATATGTACATATATCCTCGAAACACATGAATGCCACATGTCTTTGCCACACTTGTCATCTTACTTTCGTGAATGTCAAAAACTGGTTAAAACAGTATAAACATTAATTAGAATTCAATGAACTGCAGAAGTCTAATATATTTTAAAACCTATGATTTTACTTATAATCGTAAAATGTCTCAACTTACATCGATGTTCCAAATTTATCTATGAAGAAATTGCGAATGTGGGGAAAAGATAGCAATACTTATTGGACTAGGTTTTGACTTCTAGAGTGGAATTTCGATGAGAATCACTTTGAGGTATTAAGTCCTTAAGAACTTAAAGATAGACATCTCTTGAATATGTGGTCATCTTTCTCTGAATCTAAAGGTCATCTATGAATTTTTAAAATATCTCCTGTAAATTTTCACCTCATTCGTTTTATATATGTTCAATATGTCAGTCTATCATGCAGACCTTTCTACATCGGAAAACAAAGTCAGTAAATCTCAGACAATGAACAAATTGCAAATAGTGCATGTACTGTTATCTCTCCTACGTAGTTTTCAGTCTGCATTCCAATCTGGCATTGAACATGAGGTACTCAAACAAGCACAATATAGCCCAATTCCTATTGAAAAACGCCATAAACGTACCTATGGTACCAGAGCAGCTGGTAAAATAATACGTAACGTAAGTAACTACAGCTATAACCACCGAGATTTATATTACTACGTAGACCTGGTTTAACTTTATTCGGGATGAAAGCACACTGCAGTACATGTCTTTTTCCAACCATGTTTATTTTAATAAACATACCCCGTTCTATACATGTTAAAAAACATGAGTGCAGAATATTTCTTTCTTTAGGTGATTTCACTCCCTCGCTCATAGTCACACGCAACTATACATCCACTCATCTCTCCATCTACTGTATTGAGGATCAGTAAGCCGGTTGCAAAATCAAGGTTCCACCGCTACTCTCTTTGCACCATATGGATATAATCTCTTCTGGGTAAATGTCCTCCGGACTTTGTATTCCTGACCGAAGTTGTTGCAGATAACATGTACGATGCATAATTAGATTGAGTTGTTTCTCCGTTCAGAACCCTTCATGATACTCCTTCAATCCACTAAAATCATGGTTTATTGGATCCCATGATCCATGAGCATAACGGTAGACCACTCCCTTTTAGGTATGCATCAGCATAAATTTTTTGCCCGTTATATACTTACAACAATAATATCTTTCATTCCTCGATGATAATGCTTCCTTACTATAGCAAAACGTAAATTTCTTTGAATAAATAGAGCGTGAAAACATGAGAATCTTTCAATTCTTCAATAGATATAATCTCATATCAATTCATACCTAGATTTTTCAAGTACTTGAAACAATAGAAAAAAATAGTTTTTTCACATTTGTAATCAATGTCTTCACTATGCATTAGTGTATTTTGCTTTCTCTTGCATTTTCAATAATATCATGATGTTTTAAAATTTTACTTTTAATTCCCTGAAAAAATATTTATGTAGTAACACAATCATAAACTCAAACACTTGAAGAACCCAAACAGTATAAGTGTCAGAATAAAAACATTTCCAAGATTATAAAGGCCTAATGATTAATTATGTCACAATAGTCATAAATTTCATCTCAAAATCTCAATAAACAAAAAATAAAATACGAGCAAAAAAATCAACGCTATAAAGTATAGCGGTGTTAAGATCCATGATGTGTAATATAAAAGACAAAAAACACTGTAAGAGAAAAAAATCTGTGTTATAAAATATACCAGACTGAAACAAAGAGGCATTGAGGACAGTAAAAGATACATCTAGGGCAATAGATGATTAATGCAAATGGTAATCTATGGTAAAAAATTCATCCTTTACTATTTCACTCAAGATCCAATTAAAAAGATTCATAAATCTAATGAGATCAGCGATACTTGATCTTAAAACAAGAATGTAAGCTTTTTTTTACTTTGTAAAATTTGAAGTCAGAAAAAAAATTAAAAACAACTTTATCAAAATAATTGAATGAAAAAATTCAAAATCCATGAAACTATTGTCAAATGAGCATCTTGATTCATATGAATTAATTTCTAAATGCAAAACATTGATGTATAAAATTGTAGTTGAAAAATTGCATTCATTATCATGAATTTAATATGGTACCTCTATATCTATTAGAAATTGTTGATGAGGATATCATTCTAAAAATCAAATTATGACTCAAAAAATTGACTAAAAGTATTTGAAATATGTGATGGTTTTTTTATGTAAGGATATATGTATATTTTTTTAATACATTGAATTTTTTTCAAAATGTTATAAAATATAGGAGATATTTGCTTGATGGGACCCCATCCACAGGTAAATTGCTTGATGGGACCCATCAAGTTTCAATTTACCCGATGGGACTCCACTGACGGTACACATCACAGTGTTCTAGTATGAACAAAAGACAATGCGTGAATCACACTTCGTGTTACCTTCGGCACCCGTTTCTCCCTTCGCATCACTGCGTAGAATCTGACCCTCCTGAATCACTTTCTTGGGAAGAATGGGATGGTAGATGGGGAAGATGAAAAAATGTCACGTGATACTCCGTTTCGCCCTTCGCATCACTGCGTAGAGTCTGGCTCTACTGAACCACTTTCTTTGGTTCTACCATCTTCGCAGCCAGCCACCAGCCGCACAACAGAGCTTATGCATATTCATACGGCTGCTACACCATTTCTGAGGCTGCAAATTTTGTGCTCTCGCTTGATACATGTGCTCCCGAGTCTCGACGTTCTTTTTGAGTGAATGAGAAACTTGACCCTTGGGTTGCAGTAGCTCACTCTTGCCCTCGCAAGCCATGCATCCCTCGAGTCCATGAATCGCACTGGACTTTTCTGGTTTGGACCAACTACAAACTCTTCGGTCGACCACGTGATACGTACACATAAATACACGCCGCTTGCCGCAGGTTTCAACGTCCAAGAATTCTGAAATCATCTGAAGAGAATATCCAGGTTCCGCCTTTCGGTCGACGTCTGTGCAGTGTCTAGTGCTAGTCTGAAGGGAGCGAGACGAAGGTTGCGAATCATGTGTGAAACAAAACGATAAAAAATTGCATTTGCGTCGACGTCTGGGCTGAGATGTTCAGACCGCTCGAAGGAGCTCTGAAATAGCAGACGAGTTGATCGACTCCGTATATTATTGGGGATGTGAGTATCGAACTCGATCATCAAGATGTCATGATCTGGGAACCTGCTTAGATTCCATTTGCTATATATTCTTACAAGATCATACCCTTACTAGAACACCTACTAGAACTCAGCAACAGCACACTGTCTGTGGGCTCCCATTAGGTAAGTTGAAACTTGATGGGTCCTATCAAGCAATTTACTTTCGGATGGGGTCCCATCAAACAAATCTCTCTAAAATATAGAGTAGTAAAATTTATGAAAAAATCAAAAAGTACTGAAAAAATACTATTCTATTTTTTTTCAAAAACTTTGCATGACAGTGTTTCACAACATCAAACAATTGAGAGTAGTACGATGATCAAAAAATTTTGAAGAAAAGATCAAACAAAGAATCTAAAAGATTGACATTTGGCTAAGATGTAAGATGTTCTCAAAGCAAACAATGTCCAATTTGCAAAGTTTTTATCTTCCCACACATTTAAAAGCTCATGTCTTTTCTTGTGCATTCCAATCCTTGAACTTTCTATATATCTATTCTAGGTTTCTTGGAATATAAAGCTATTTCATTCATTTCATATCACACAATTTGCTAATAGCTTTATCAGATATGTTATTCTCCACAAATTCCATCAATTCATATCGGGCTGGATAGATTAATGTAAAGACTACTAACTGCTACTTTAGTAGTTAGTTCTCATTTGCCTACTCTCGGGATGTAGCCACTAGGTTCTCGTTTCATAATTGTAAAGGGTAATGAGAAATTTCAATATATACACTTGGACTCCATAGCGTTGACGCAACGCAGTAGCTCGACAGTGCAGAGAGAGGAATTACTGAGCCAGCTGATAAACTGCGTAAAGGAGATGCATTCACGCAGAAGGAAACCCCGTACAGCACATCAAACGTTCGTCCAAGAAGTCAACCCCAAAAGTGCGCGGGGAAGACGGACGCTGAATTCATGGTCGTCTGTCTAAATCCGGGGGGCCGAAGGAAGCTTGTAGCCGAAGCTGAGTGTCGATCCCTTCTCGTCGACTCAATTCGACTTTGATGTGCATGTCAATCCAGATCTCCGGCAGCTGGTGCGGGAGGATGACAATCCACACCCGATCATGAAGAATTTTGTTGGACTGAGCTCATGCTCTCTTCGAGCTCACCGTAGACAGCAGTGGACAAGGGGGACGATGACAACTGGTCTTTTAGCGACGTTCTGCCAATGTTCGATATTTTCCTCGGACGTGGAAATGTGAGTGGGCCCTCTCCCGTATCTGATGTGCTGCATTTGTGAATTTATACTTTTGTGTACATCGTCGTTCTGTAACTCTGGCTTTCTAGGGTTTGAATTTGCTCCCCTGCCTTGTTTGGTGGTGTTCCTCGAGTGAATCAGTGACGGGATTTTGAGCTGCTTAAATATTTGCGGATAACTTCGTACATTTTGTGGACTTTTTGTCAGTACTTCATGAATTGCGCATGTCTTAGATTATGGCCTTCGTTGATTGTTGGCGATATAGGTATAGATTCTGCAAGATCCCCTCGTTCGGAGAGTACATAAGGCCGTCTTTGTACAGTAGTTGATTGCAATCACACGCAGCTCATCGGAAGAAGAAAGCAGACTCGTCGCATCGTGATTTTCGTGTCTCGGATTCAAATTTGAAAAGGATTATGTCTTGCTTCAGGGTCTAGAAAGGGCCCTGGGTTTAAGTGCATCAGTTGGGATTTAGCGTCCAAATTATATGTAGAAGGAAGGTTGTGTTTGAGGCGAATGTTAAGGAGGTACTTTGAGTCTTAGGACGCGTTGGAGCTAGCGGAGCCAGAGCTGGGTTCAGCAGCTGGGATTGAGCATATGCTGAGTTGGAGCTTCGGATGAGGATGCCGACAGCAGGGTGTCATCTAGTGTGCTGCAGATATGGAGGTTGAATTGGATGTGGCTTCAGGAGCTGGAAGCATGCTGGAAGGTGATGATTTGAGTCAAGTTCCTGAGATCCCGTTTGAGGAGGTTGATGACGAGGAGATGGCAGCCATTGAAAGCGCCTTTTTGCACGCCCAGTCTCTTGCTTCGGCTTATCATTCTATAAAGAGTGCCCAAATCATCTTCGGCTCGAGTTTGGTTCATGGTCGTCAGATTGCCAATTCTACTTCGGGCCTACTTCTAGCAACATCAGATGTGCGGAAAGAATCCTTTGTCTATACGGTCACGTCTTCCTTGAGTGCTCAGGAACAGCATTATCGAGCGGGCGCCTCTCAAGGGTTTTATCATCAAACTGGTTCTTCCCAAAAGTCTGTAGATGTATCAAGGTTTTCAGAGGGCGAAGAATCCGAATCCCAATCGGGGAGTCAGTCCACGGTGACAACAGCAGCTGGTGATTTTTTAGCTGGTGTAGCGAAAAACTCACCAGCTGCTGAAGGAACCATTTTATGGTCAACTGATCCGTCTGATGCTATGTTGGTAGGTTCGCAAAGTTCAGTGCCTGTTACCAGGGTATCTGAATCTGAAAATTATGTAGATATAGAAGATACCGGAGCATCGGTTTGTACAAAATCTGATGACAGTGCAAACGCTTCCAGTTCAATGTCTTTGCTTCTTAGGCATCGATCGAGGAGAGGGCTTTCAGTAACGGACTTTACAGCTTCAGTACGTGCCTTATTTTCTTGCTTGATCTTGAATCTCCCTAATTGGCATCTGACTTGTAATAATGAATGTGGATATGGATAGTAAGTAATGATACATTTGGAGGCATTCATTTTTAAAAGGTGGAGATGTTCTTCATTCCTGTAGTGTGATGTCGAAGCTGCTAACGAAGAGTGGTACTTCAGGAATGGTGTGAAAAACAAGTAGAATTCTCGATGACGCGAGGAAAGCCCGAAAAGACTCCTGCTATGAAAGCTGGCAGCGAGAGACATCTTCAGCTGGAAGTGGAGGTTTGTTTCTCCTCTGTTGAAGTGTAGTATTCTTTTTGTAATAGATTTGTACAGATCGTGATATATATACCCTATAATGTGTTCACACTTCATCTGATTAATGACTTTTTGTTTCTTCACAATCAACGCGGCACTTCAACAGGTTGTGACTCGAGTCGAGATTGAGATCAAAACTAAAGAAGATGCTTGGGCGACACGGCTCCTTAACTTTATCAGTGGATCTCGGCAACTTCTCAGTGAGGGCCTCACACGCGAGCTTCCAGTGTAAGGTCTTTGAAAATATCGGTCTGCGAAAGTTATAACCACAACCAGAAAAGAAACAGTAAGGCCACAAATATATGATATGTGAACTAAAATTGATGACAGATGATCGTGCTGCTTTAATGAACTTGTTGTACCTTGCTTAATCAGGGTTAATAATCTTAACTAAGTTATTAAAGACTACGTCTTCAGTTAGGACGACTCGCTCAGTTCATGGTAGAATAGGGTATGTAGAGAGGTTGAGGGGACATTGGCGACTTAATGGAACTGTGTCCCTTCAAAGCAGTGTATACCCATATGCTTTGTTTTAAGCAGGAGATTAGATTATGCTGACGGATAATGGTTTCTAGTTGTTTGTCTTCTATCGTGAGTTGCCATAGAGATGTGTTTTTGCTCACAATTTCAAAGCTCTGAATTTACAAACTTTTTGTATCTGTTTGCAGGCTGGGCCTCTTATCCGGTACATGGATTGTCGGTATTATTGATGAAATTAGACTAGTTGAGAAAGACGGACAAGAGTATCCTTTGCTTGTTGATACAAAAACTCGTAGGAGGAGGACTCCACCATCTGAACCCCAGAAACGAAATGCAAGGTACTCAAAACGTCAAAATTGTTTGTTAAATTTCAAGGGGAAAGTCCTGCCTTCGTCAATGATGTTTTCTCGCTCCCTTTTTGTACATCTTAGAGACCCTTTTCTCGTGGACCATGTATGAACCATGGACTTTGCTGATTGCAGGCTTCAGCTTATGTCTTATAAATATCTTTGGGATACCATGGTTGAAACTGGACTTCCCTTCGAATCTTTCTTCCAGCACTTCAACCTAAGTCCGCATCAAAAATTTTGCTCAGACGTGAGACTCCATGCCTCCAGCTTTTATCAAGATTGTGAGGTAAGTAAAGAATTTCAATCACCCATTTTAAGATCAATCAAGGGCTATAGAGAAATATGTTGTCGTGTACTGAAATGCTATCCTTGTTCAGTGATGAAGCATAAAGATGACAAGTGTTGTCTCTACTATTATAAAAGCATACTAAGAACTTTGAGATTGTTCAGGACTTGTACTTAAGGTTTTATGTTGGCGGTGAACAACAATCTCAAATCATCTTGATCTCTTAAATTAGTCTAAGATCCCAAGAGAAAGTATGGTCTGTCATTCTACTTAGATTGATTGCACCTGACTTGTAGGATGTAGTGTGGAGTAGGATATTCTTGCTGATAAAGACCTTGTGCTGTGTCCAGATCAAGTGCTTACAAGACCTGCTGCCACAGATTGCAAATGAGGTTGTGAATTATCCTTCATCATTAGATACTCTCTTATTGAGGTAAAGCATTTTCATTTATCACAAATTTTGTATAAGGTCACGACCAAGCCCTTTTTTTATATTATGCCACAATGTTCAAATGAATTTTCGCAAGGTACAGTACACTACAGAAGACCAGTAATACCAAAAACCTGGAGCAAAAGATTTTTGACTCTTGCATCTGCTGTAATGTACAGGTATGAATGGCAAGCAGATCAGTCCTTACTCGGTGAGGATGAGTTTGATTTCGAGCACGATTGGTTAATGGATAGGTGGCAATGGCATTTGCAGTTTTGGAAAGGACGTAGGCAGGCTTATGCTGTGCCGGAGGAAGAGACCTGGAAGTGCAGACATTGTTCGTTTGCAAGCGTTTGCAAACCTGTCAAATCTCCTCCTCCTCCGGACAATATGCTATCTCAAAGCAGTTAGACATTAGATTGCGTGGGCTGATACCTTTTCATCAATGTATAGAAATTGGTACAGAGCTTGAAGCTAAATTCTGTATACAGTGAACGCTCACGACATACAAGTTGAGGGAAGCACTGGCTCAGTTTCAGACATAGTATATCAGTTGAATAAACCATGTCTGAAAACTGAGCTCCTTTCAACATCAAAGGAGCCTGTTTATTGAAAAGGCGTTGAACGTCTATGTTGAGTCATAGGTCCATTCTTTCGATTTGAAAACCTATTACCATTAATTCATGATTCTTCTCTGCTCGAGAATCCACAGATCACTAATAAAGTGAATTAAGCATCTTGCCTTTTGTGACTTATTCTCTTTTCTGTTGTGTATCAAATATAAGATACATTGAAGACTACGAAGAAAGATATTCGTTCATTACTATACCCACTCATCTTACGTTCTTATTCTACATATTTATCGATAATTTGTATTAGGCTTTCTATCTGAAAGCTTTGTAACAGAGTAATGTTTACGATAATGTTTATTATCGTTTTCGGTGACCTGTTACAGCGATGCTTCAATTGGCTTCCCGTTGCACTGCAGTATAATATCTAAATGATCCCAAAGGTTTCTCTTGTCTACTAGCTTTTTGTTGGACCCTATCAACCTCATGAGAACGAAAGTGGAAGATAAAAATAAATCCGAGGATAAATTGGTGTTTTCTCTCTTTTGGATCGAATCTATATTGATATTGTCCAAATTGGTAGTGCACTTGAGTCTAATGGAAAGCGGTAGTAAAAGCCCTTAATTCTTAGAACTATATCGCGCAGCTACTATCTACTACATTACACTTTTTTAGATTTTTCGGTCTTTATAAAAATGTTAGAGCAAATTCGTTTATTTGAGAACTTTTTTGCCAAAAGCTTACTGTAGATTAACCTTCAAAATGCCTTTGGTCCATCTATGCTGTAAATGAAATACATAGTACTGTATACTTCATAAACAACAACTTGTGTTGAAGAGGCATACTCAAACCCATATCCATTGTAGACACGGTGGATTGACGTTCATATATCCAAGAGTAAAACGAATCCGATCAAATATACGAGGCAAAAACGTACCAAATGAGATTTATTAATTTCTTTTCAATGTTTCAAGCGAAAAAAGTTTTCAAAAGACTAAGACAAGGATTGCAACTAACGTTACCTAACATTCTGGAAATTTCCTTGTTCAATAAGTTAAATCTATTTCACGTAAGAATAGAGTTGGGGCTCAAGATTTTTCTTCTTTTTGCAAGTTTACTGTGATAGAGATGACAAAAGTACGCCCTTTTTATAAATCTCCTTTTGTACATGCAACTAAGTAAAAATCTATAGACATAATTATAGTGTGTCATTGTAAAACTGTAGTAACAAATAATTATCAAAATGGAACACAATGGTAAAGATCTGTTCTCACGAGCACAAAAACAACACCAAAGAATCAGGTAGTGTCACGAATTAATATTCTATTGAGTAGTTTTACTTCTCAAGCACATGTCATTCCCAGAAGCATCTACATTTGCTAAGGCCGAAGGCGACACAAATGCAGGATGAAATCACATCCAAACACTGAAATTCATCCAATAGATACCACAAAATCTCAAACGACTCTGCAATTGATATTCAAGGGAGAAATTTCCCAAGCTTACATACTTAGCTGGCTACACCAAGCTTCTAATGTACAGATTTGTTTAAATCTTTAGCTACACTATGCACCAATCAAAACAACCAAATTAGACTCTCTACTTCAGATGCGGTATCTACGACAAATTGAAGCAACTCGTGCACAGTGACAAAACGCACAACTCACAAACGCGCAGAGGATTGCAGACTTAAGACTAAAAATTGACTCATGAAAAAGTCCTCCCAAGTTGGAGCCTTAGATCTCTTTATTCACAACGAACACCCTGAGTCATCATCCGCTAATTGCGAGCCCCCATCAGGTGCGACTTCCACAGATGCGGCAAATGCCACACCCGTAGAGCTCCTGTCTACTCCTATCCTACTCAAAATTGTTGATAGATCTAATTCAAAGTTCTAATTCGTCTACTCTAAACCGGAAATGAATGAATTGATCTTTCTACCTAACTTCCGATGTCTTGCGGCTCTGCTGGCTCCCAATTTCTTCATTCGGCGCTCAATGTCATCCAATATCATTCACTTTGTGATTTGAATCTTCCATTTCACATAACCGCGAAGACATTGCTCTACCCTCGCGCGCAATGCAGCATACGTCTGATGTTCCAACTGCTGGGTTGTCCCCTCCGTCTCCACCAATTTTGCTTAAGTCGCGATCAACTTCTCCTCAACCGTCGACAGTTGAGATTGCAATCTGCGTCCAATTCCTTCCTACGCTCTAACTCCAAAGTTCGGACAGCTTCCTTCAGCCAATTCCTTCGCCTTAAGTACCAATTCGGCAGCATGCGATTGATCCCTTGCCGCCAGATTCGCCGTCAGATTCACCGTCAACTCATCCGTGCGTTTGAATTTACTCGCAAATTCCTTCTGAGACAAATCCAATTTGTCCTCAAGTTCCACTGTTACCTTTTGCGCATTGTTGATGTAAACCCGAAGGTCCTTGCACTCAAGCTCTGTCTTCGTATGAAGGTACTTCTCAGTTGCTAAACTTCTCCAAAGTTCTCACACTTCAACTCCTCCTGCCAAAGATGCTCATCCCCCTCCTGCAAGTTAGCTGTCTTGGCCGCGCACTCAGAAGTTAAGTTCGCCACTCTCTCCGCTACCTCCGCAGATGCTGCCACCTTCGCCTTCGTCATACAACGCACTAACTATACAAAGGATCATGCTAACTCTGGCTCCGTGTACTTCGCCATCTTTCCATCTAAATATTTGAGTAAGAGAATTATTCAATCTCTCAAAACATCAGCTACACTAAGCTCTTCTATCTTTGGTTCTTTGGCCGAAGGTCCTTCGCCGCAGTCAAAATCGACTGTACCCGAAGACACTTGACATGAAGGCATCGCTGGTTGCTCCGCGACACTCTTTTCCACTTCCGCCACCACTTGTTCCAAGAATTTTTTACCGAATTGGGCTATACCGCCGGTTCTTTCAAATCTGCAAGCACATCCAAAATTTCCTTATCCAAAGGCCGAAGATCTTCAACCGAAGACGTTGATGGCTATTCCATAGGCCGGAAACATTGATCTGAAGTCTCTGTCTCGATCTCATCCTCTCGTTCTTTTCCTTTCTTCAACGAATATTCCATGGACATGTCCAAAGGTCGCCACTTCAAAAGCCCTTTGCCGAAGGCCATTCGTCTTTTGTTCCTACAGCTTGCACTTCAAATTCAACCCAATCCACCGGAGTTACTGGATGGTGCGAGGTTGCTTCGTTACATCCTCTACTATCCTCTTACTCAATCCGTTGGCGTCGTGACTTCATCTTGCTACGAAAATGCACACTCGCTGTCCTCATCCGCGTGGGAATTGATCTTCTGGCCCGCAATCTTGCACGCTGACCCACCATCTCCGAAGTCAAGGTCTTCTGCAATTTTTGTCGCTTCTTCGCTGATCGTTCCTCAATTTCTTCTCCGACTTGTTAGCTTCGACCGAAGGCGGTGCAAGTCCAATGTTGTATTCCTTGCTGGCAACTTCATTGACTCCCATCACTCCTTCATCGTATGCAATCTCCCTCTCGAGTGGGAATTTTTGCTGCTCTGCTGCTGTGAGCAATACCATACCTCGATAGAAATTGATAAAAAACGTGGACAGATAATTCAATGAACTTCAAATATTTTTTTGACGTTCTTGCGAGTGGTACTTCAGAGAATGCGAGCCCAATGAATTGACTTCCCCAACACCGCGCATTCCACGAATCTGACCTGTCATGTTGCCATGTAAGTTGTTCTTGACGGTCGCAGAATCTGCATAAGTGCCACCGCCACAGTATGTCTTAATCTTTTGCGGTATCTGTCGTCCACCATCCATTCTTTGCGAAGGTCTACTCCTCGGCTTGGATCATCTTCACACTCTAGCTGTCGTAGGTGAAATCGTCTTCTTCACCTACAAACAGTCCCAAGACTTATGCACAATGTTCAATCGTCCAGCTCTTCGGGTTTCCGCGAAGTCCATTAGCGTCTGGCGCACGTACTTCATGCCACTCCTACACGATTGCTGCAGAAATTCAATTACAATTCCAGAGCAAGAAATTGAGATTGACCGCCATCAATTCTTACCGATACGCTCTCAATCCAAATACCTGTACCTTCAACGTCGACCATCAAAGTCCCGAAGATCGCTTCATTGTTGTGCTCTCAATTTTACACTTGCGATCCTCACTGAGCTCCCAATTTTCAAATGCGTTCTTGCGAAATATTGGCGCAGAATTCATGTTTCTCCTAATGTACTTCTACGTTCTAATCACATTGTGAACTCGTGCAAATTGACAGTACAAGTGTTGGAATTTCCCTTACGGTCGGCGTCCCCTTTCCCTACGCCGAAGGTCATTCATTCGATGGAGACCTTCTGCTATAACGTCGAAGGAGCTATCGCCAAAGTTCGAAGGTTCTTCGCCAAAGGCCTTTCTGCGCCCTCGCCGAACCATATCCTCTGTTGCATACTCTCGTAACTCAGGATAACCTTACCCGTTTCCGGTGTTCTTGAGCTTGTTGGAACAAGCGCGCCAAACTCTATATATTGAGACCTTGACTAAGGCAAATTCCTACTAATTGAGAAAGTTATGAATCATCTACTCTAGTGGATCATAACTCATCTAATTCAACTTTATTACCTACAAGTAAAAACACAAACCTCAAAGAGAGTTAGCTAAATGGATTCTGCTATTACTAACTTATACTACAGAATTCACAATTTAATTTAATTCTAGTTATTCTTATCCTAAAACTTTAAAATTACTAATCTTTTATCTCATAAACTTTATCTTTTCAAAAAAAATGTAAAACTACATTACCACGAGAACACTAATAGAAGGTATACAAATTAGCCATGAGTGCTGAAAAACAATCCTCCAGTTCTCTTAGAAACTCTTCCGGACAGGGCTTGCTGGTTGGATTTTTTGTACGAAGAAATAATTCGGAAAATACTTGTAACGAAAAAAAAACTGTTGAAGTCACCCCAAAAGAAAAGGTATCATTTTGGATGTCGGAAAATCTTCTTAAGGACTTGATTGAAAAAGAATAATCTTAACGTTTTCGAGGCCACTTACTAGAAAATGTTCTCCCTATTCCACAAACTGATTGAATGGCCGTGGCCAAAAACTAAAGTATCTCAAATCCCCCCCACTATAAGCTACTTGGAAGCTACTGAGTAAAAGCCCAATCATATTGTCCAGTACGATGCTTCTTTACGTGATTGAGAGAAGACACAAGTGCTAAAAGTCATAAAATGGAATACAAAACATACCAGGAACCCAGAGTCAACGCAGAGAGAACGCGTTCGCCGCCTTTAAAAGAATCTCTCTTAAGGAGGAAAGCCGTGACACCTTTAGTTTCTTTCAGAGTTTCTCGAGCTAAGTTTCTTTCCATCCCTTAAGATTGTGTATGGAAAAACAATCAGGAAAATAAGACAGTACTGTACACGTAAGTACCATAACCAAAAACTGGCACGTGTTGATCTACAGGCAAGTTTGCGACAACCCAGTGTAGACCTACATCGTTGACATTTCAGTAAATAAACATGTGCTAATGCTAAAGGTGGTGTGATGCTGGTGTTCAGAGCTTATGTGTCTGCACGTGTCAATTTACAGTTTGTGGTGCAGTAAAGTAGAAATTGACACGTGTAGAAACACAAGCTCTGGACTTCTGCATCACATTTAGCCATGTACATGTATGTGGTCTCGAATAAGGAAGCCACCAAAAAAGTAAAACGTGAGGGAGGCCTAGCTTTTACCATGGAACCATTTTGAAGGTGAATAATACGTACAGAGAATTCTAGATAAATTACACCTGCTTAGAGAAATTCTTCTGTTCCTATGTAAAATCTACACAATAATCTTTGAAGAATACTCACATTACGAAAGTTCCAAATTATTATTTTTTAAAGAAAGAGACATCTGCCAGGAAAGAGATTAAAGCTACCAGCTGATAAAATCTTATCTTAATTTCCCCACAAAAAATCAAATATCCACTTACAAGGAGATACCCACAAGGAAAATGATAGAAATGAAAGAAATAGTGAAAACGTTGTATCGCAAAAACTCGACGAGTGATGATGAGTGATGATTGATATGTAAATCAAATGCTGCGGAAGGTGGAGGAAACACCCATCATTACATTGAATTATACAACTCGTAACTAAATAATCACAGACAGTAAGGAAAAAATCTAGTGACCAACATTTGATAGTCATTTTAAACTACCTATCAACTCAGTACAAATAGGAAAGCCTTTCAAGATCCAACAGATTAGCAGCAGTTCTTTCATGTTAAAGAAGATGCATCAGACACTATTCAGCAGTTTTAAGTATTCGGAACTACATTCCTGTGTACTTGATGTACTCTGAAAAACTATGAAGTACTCTCTCCTTTACCTGCCCAACCGCTTGGACCTGTGCTTAAGTAGCTTTTTCATAACTTTGTCGGATATCTAATGAGAGCACTTGTGAAAATGTAACAAAAAGTTTACTCAGTTACCTTCTTGTTCAAGTGGTTAAGTAAATGATGGTTTCCCGTACAGGTGATCAATTACGACCTCACTATATTTGAGGTTCTGTTTGTCTGGGTTGTTAACGTCAAATGCATAAAGATTTCATGTTACATCGTTTGTAGAAAACATAATGTAACATGAAAATCGAGGTGGATATCTCAGGCCTCCAGCCGTCCGATTGCAGACTTGCTGCTGAGTATACAAAGCTCCGATTTTCTTCAGATAATTTGTCCATTAAATGCCTCAAAATACAATTCCATCTAGAACGATGGGTGGTTCTCTGAAGTTCAGTTTTTGGATAAATATCACGGTTGGTTATACCAGAGGAAGTATTAACAAGCATCCAATCTTTAGCCAGTCCAGCCACACTTCCAACTTCGCTTTGAAAGTGAAACCGGCCAGTTTCTGATAAAAGCATGATCTAATGGAATTTTTTACACCTCATTTCCGACCTGGACTTTGTCTCTCTACTCTCTCCTAAACTTATGCACTCCCTGCAATCAGGTGCTAGACAGACTCTTATGTGTTATGGACAACTCGTGGAGCTCGTTTAAGATCCATTCTTCCCCTGTATGTCCTCCCAAAACGACTGCACGAGTGCCACCTACAACACAGGTGCTATGGCCCCAGGCGAACTTCGGTGGTTGGCCAGGCACATTCAAAACTCTCCATGTCGATTGCTCTTCCTTCGGGTCCAGAACGAAGAGTTGTGCTGGAGAATGGAGTCCAGCAATAGAACCGCCAAATATAAGAATCCTGCCACCGGGCAAACTAACAGCAACATGATCCAGTCTTGGAGGAGGAGGCGTGCCTGCTGGTGCTGCTCCGCCTGGAAGGGTGCTACCTGTCACATACTTCCATTTAGGTTGCTCTTCACTTAAGTCTATGGTGAAGACATCACTAGACCGTAATCTCAGAGGACCGCTTTTAGCCAGCCCACCGAACATAAGAACTTTCCATCCTTGATAAACACAGAGGGTGTGACCCAAACGAGAGGGAGGGCTCCATGAGACATGGATTTCTCGCCACATTGGTTTCTCCATCGTTAAGTCTAGTAAGAAAGTGTCACTAAGAAGTACACCAGAGTCCGCACACCCTCCTGACACCACTAGCTTTGTTCCATCTAACGTGCATGAGCTATGCCATGATCGAGGGATAGGAGCGACAGCTCCAGCCCCGATCTCTCGCCAGATAGGTTGTTTCGCATCCAGATCCACGATGAAAACATCGTTCAGTAGACCGTCTCTTCCACATCCCCCAAAGACCACCAACCACGACTTGTTCAAACACGATAAGGTGTGGCCCCAACGGCCTGGAGGAGGTGATTTCACATTCACGTGTTGCCATGCAGGGTGTTTGACGCTCAAGTCAAGCACAAATGTGTCATTCATTGGCTGCATATTTACACCTTCCCCACCGAATAATACCAACTTATTGCCAACTGCACAGGCACTGAAGTTGCAGCGTGAAGGTTCAACTGCACCACCCACCGTCAGTTTCCTCCAAGCAGCTGCCTCTAAAGTCGTCAGTTCTCTTGCAAGTCTGCCCCATTCCAGATTATCAGCACCCGGTACAGATTCCAAAGCCTTCGTGGCCTCGAAACCCCAAGAATTTTGACAAACTGACCTCCACAGGTTATCATTTTTTGTGATCTCGTGAAGACGTCTACAAACCAAGCCAAGAGCAGCAACATCCCTCGGTGCTACGTAAGCAATGATTTTGTGAGTCAGAACCTCGTCACTGAGCTGCAGGAGACCACAGGCATCCTTCGACGACTGACCAGGGCCGACGGGAGAACTCTTGTATGCATTCGCTTCCTTCAGAGGCTGGTCCTTGCTCCAAAGCAGTGAGTCCTTCCATGGTATTGGACCAAGATCGAGTTTTGCTTCCGTGAAAGACTGAATTCCAATCACATGAGTGATTGTCCCATCCTCTGCATGTATTGGTGTCATGCACAGCTTATTCATCAACGGGGTACCATCCTTCCTGAAATTCAACAGCTCACCGCGAAACTCCACGCCTTCAGTGAGACATCGTTTAATCGTTGCAACAGTTGTTGGGTCAACGAGTGGGTGGCGCCTTTGAGCGAATGGTCCCCTACACTGCAAAAAACGACTGCAAAAGGCCACAACGATCCTACCACATCAATAATCAATAAAAAAACGAAGATAATGATTATGATTGGAGAGAAAAATACAGGATGACTTGGGTAAACTCGACTACATCCACTACTTTCAAGAATATTAGCAACATTTTCAGAATGCAGCTACAAGAGTAACAAGTTGTAAGCATATGAATTTATCATGATGGTTCGAGTGATCCTGATGACTCGCGCTAGGCAGTGATCTTGATCCTAAAGTTGTGACCTTGGCATCAGATTCTCGATCTAGTAGGAAGATTTGATACCTCCAGAAAAGGTTTATGTGAAAATTTATCAATATAACATGAAATGCTTCGAAACTTAGTTCACTCACTTGTGAGCCTTGTGACAAATACAGACCACGGACCTGAAAAGAGGCGTAACATCTATGTTTCTGCAAAAAGCTACAGTGGAGACTTGTTAATGCCTTGTCATGAATACAGTAGAGGGCAACAAAGGAACCCATCTTCTTGTTTCCATTTACAGGCGTACGGGACTTCCTCCCTGCGCCAAGATTGGAGGCTCTGATGGATATTTCATGTGTCGAAAAAGAAAAACTTTGTCATGTCACTGCCTCTATAAAAGGATATGTGGCATTAGTACATGAAGAGAAGTGATTCGGGCAAGGCCTTCAACCTGGTTGAGAAGTTATATACCTGGTGGTAAATTACCAACAGGTATATAACTTGCCTTTTGGATTGGATGATGCAAATGAGTCCATGTCCCGCAGAAACGAGAACATTGTCAAACTTTCTACAAAGGGGACGTAATTTTCGGTGTATGACTTCATAAAAGCAGCATTTATGTATGTGTAGTGTAAACCTGGATCTTGAGTCGAGGGTTGAGCAAGAAAACTTGACAGGCTAAACTACTTCCTGCTCCTCAACTCTTTTCTGAAAGCAAATGACTTTAGTAGGACGATAAACACCTGATGGTTGACTTTATAAGTTCAGAAAGTAGATATGTAAAGGACGTAGGATGGCCTGGATAAAAAGAGGGAGAAAACTGAAACTGACGGTGTGAGAGTGCAGGCCACACGGTCAGTCTCAATGAAATGACATTAGTGTCGTCAATGTAGCTGCGGAAAAAGTAGCAGCCGTAAATATTCCCGTCAACACAACAACGTTGGCTTTGACTGCAAATACCGTGAGTGAATCATCAGTATTTGAAAGTTCAGAAAGACGTATGCAAAAGAGGGTCTTCGTCCAAAAGCATGAGGTCGACCCTCGGGTCGGGGGAGAATTGTGCAAATCAAACCGGGGTATTTCTGTAGAGGTATTGCAATATCTGTGAGCTTCCACCCTGGAGAATCTAAACATCATCATTATAAAAGATTCATCGAAGGGGAGACTCAAGGCGCAGAGCTGCTACATTACTTCATAACCATCAGATCTATCAGACCTCAGCGTCTATCGGGCCTGCTTCCACTAGACAAGAAATGAGCTTAGATTCACACAATCTACCCCGCAATTACCCCTCTCTAATCGCATTCGATCACATACCCGCGGAGTATTTGCTCGGCAGTCCAAGTTTAAAACCGAGCTCGTGACAAGTTCAGATTCAATTTCCCTCAAGTGGCAGGTTCAAGGTTCCTGCCACCCAAACACGGACTCTGTTGCACGACGACGTACCCTGCAAAAATCGCCATCAATAGCTAACTACAATAGGCTTTTTCAAGCTCTCGCAAAGATTTCCCTTTGTTCAAAATTTGTGCCACTGAACCGATGGAGAATCTAGAGTAGTATACTCGGAATACACATTATCAGAAATAGACGGTAAAACTCCGTAATTTAACGCAGACTCGTTACGAGCGAGCCGCCAACCTTCAACAATTCCATGACAAGAGCGTCTGGTGAGTTTTCACTTCACGAGCCCCGCATGGCCTCCGTTCAGGACGGTGACTAGGCGGAAGGAGAAGGCTGGCTCGGGATGTAGTCGACTTCCTGTCTTTTCCTACCTGACCTGACAATTTTTCAACTTCTTGCCCTTCAAACCGCCTACCACTCTAGCGCTTGACGTCAGACGAGGGATAATGATCACGTACCAGTTTTTGCCCAGAATCTCTTCGGCTTTGTAGCCTGTTATGAACTCGAACACTGTGTTGACGTAGATGATAGGCTGGTCCGGCTCTAAGGCATCGGTGACAATCAATCCACAGGGGCTGGAATGCAGGAGGACTTCCAAACGCTTGTGCGAGGTATCCACTCGCTTGTGAGATGACTCGTCATCCGCTCTTAATTCTGAGCATATCCTTATACGATCCATCTCCTGAACCTCGGACTCCTCCACACTACCCAAGGACATATCCGAGTCATCGGTATCTGTATCCCAATCCATGTAGTTCTGCTGTTCAGGCTAAAGCTGCTAATGCCCTCCTCTTCCCTACGCCAACCTCAAGAGTTTCGCTCTGAAACCTGTGCCGCCCCACCACGATACTTCGGCTGGCACTTCCTCTCCTGCTTCCTCAAAATTCTTCTCCGTCCGCAACACTGGCTGTAGAACCACTCCGCCCTAACTTACGAGTCTCGCTCAATTCTCAACCCTGCAACCGCTTCGATACCCTATCTCCCATCGAACAACCCTATCTGGTCGTCGAAGCAAGACTCCAGGGAGATTCACACGACTACGGGGCCATTGTGCTTTGCAATACAAACACCGGACGATTTTACGCTCCCAGAAAAAAGTTCTACTGCACCGCGCCGACGCTCCACGGAACTCGCCACTCCTGAAGATTGCAAGCAACCTCAACATCCATGATACTCGTGACAACTCCTGCCTCCCCGCCCGATCCCTTCAACCCTGGACTTCACAGCAGAACTATCTGCATGCCTTCCATCCCGTCCCTAATCTTCACTTCCCTTCCCCTCCGCTCCGCTCCCACTCGCTACCCCTCTATTGACAGGACGGCCAGGCGCAGTCAGCAACGACAGCTGCCATCGCTCTCCCTGATACTACCACCGACTCGATATGACTCGCCCACTTGTTCCACCGAGCACAGGCTCACCCTCCACGCCTGCCTCTCTCTTTGCCTCTGTCTCGTCACCACGACGAGCGAGTCGCATCCACACGCCCGGAGCTCGCTCGATTGCTCCCGCACTCCATGAAGCGAAATCGATCACTGCGACATTCGAGAGAGCGCAGAGAAGGTTCAGCGGCAGCAGAAGCAGAAACGTCCAAGGCGAGCAGCGGAGGACGGGGCGCGGACGAAACGAAAGCCCAGCGCAGCCGAACGTTGCATTCAAGAAGAGTGAGCAGGCGAGCGAGCGAGCGAGCCAGCAGCAGCCCTGCAGCACCGCACGGGACCCAGACCGAACCCCCGCGCCCCGCTAGGTCCCCATCTCGGCCCCCCGGGCAAAGCAGGCCAGGGCAGGGCAGGGCTGGGCTGGGCGGGGCAGGGCAGGGCAGGGGACGGAAGGAGCACCGCGAAGGAGCGAAGGACAGCGACCGAGCCGATAGCCTAGGATAAGGACATTACCCTCCGCCTTGCGCCAGCGTCAATTCTCCCCCGGAAAGATGGGAAGCCTCTGCTTTTACACGCTGTCAGTCATTATTTGACATCCGTTCGGCACACTGTTCAGTCCGAGCCTTCCGTATTTACTCGCCTCGTTATCCATCCGGCATTTCTTTAGCTCTGCCGTTTTCTCGGAAAAAGGAAGGACGGATGGATGGATGCCCCTCGTACGTTCCCTACCAACCGATGATGGGGTACCCGACGGAGTGCCGGCAGTGTACGCAGTCCGGCGTTCTGCCAGGCCCCGTTTATATATATAGCCGTCCCGAGTTATGTCCTAATTTTGGTTCGGCCTGCTGGAGAGTCCAGTGGAAAGCGATCTCCCCTCGACCCGACCCGGTCGGACCCACCCTCGTGCCTTGCGCAGCCGCAGTTATCCCGCCCGCAGTTGACCTTGACTGTGACGTCGTAACCTCGCGAAGCGAAGAAACTGCGGATCGCGGACTCCTCGCCATCCAGCGAGAAGGCGACCGCCTCTTGTCGTATTGATGGGAGCGGAGCGTGGGTGTCATAGACCCACCTGCGCAAACGCACCGTTAGATACGCTTCGGCCATTCCCATTGGTTGTGTGTGGCAACAGCCCAAATCGTTGAAGTTACTTCCACTTTCGAGTATTAAATTCTTTGCTCAGAGTACGAACATAGAGCTGCATATATGGACAAGAACGAAGGGAGTGAAGTAAAAGCCGAGAACTGCGAGTATTGGAGACATGGGAGTATGTCCAACCAGCTTGAAGAGAGGCATTGGACCAGTTAACGTGAAGAAGTGTGGCCGGTGGAGGACTGAAAGCCCCACAGAAGGGCCCCGTCCTCTGAAATTGTTGATATTCTGTGAACCAATCGAAAATATTTCTTGGCTTGGATACAGAGTTAAACTTCCCAGTAATGACATATATTGGTACTTAGGTTTTCCGTCACTATTGCGAGGTGTCATCCACAAGAGTAAAGTTTGTATAACCTCCTAATAATAACATACATTGGTGTTAACATTAGTAATATATATTGGTGTTAACATTAGATGTCATTGTTGGGAGTTGTATAATTTTAATATAACCTTCAAATAGTAACATACATAGGTTTTGGTGTTAGATGTCACTATTGGGAGGTGTCAATTATATAAGAAAAAATTCATAGATTTTTTATCGTGCAGTGCATCAATCCTAAGATTTTCTATAAATGTGTTGTTTGGTTTCAAAATGGCCTTCATTTGCACATATGTATTCTTAACATGTACATTATAATTATATTTAAATTTAAATTAATACACACAAATCTGAGTGAAACAATTAATGATAATATGTGTAGCAAATTAGGGATTAAGGGTTAAACCCTAAACCCTTACTTAAATCCAGAAAATGTGAATTGTTGAGATATAACTTTAAATATACTTATGCCATATTTTTTTAGTCTCATAACTATGTATTGTGATAATGATAGGAATTTTTACTCTGAAATTACATTTGAAATTGTCACTATTGTATAGTATCATGTCACTAATGGGAATAGTGACGTACCGTTCTTATTGAGCAGATTTACAAGTTAGAAACTAATGGATCTGGGATTTTACGTCACTTATAAGAGGATGTCACTCATAAGAGGTGACACTATTGGGAGGTTTAACTCTATATGTTGTTGTGTTGTATGTTTTGGTATTTAAGTCAAATAGGTTTGTCTCTTTGTGCTGTTGGACTTATGTTGAACGGGTTTGTGATCGTTGATCGTTGATAGCTAAGAAATACTACTTCGAGCCCAGGAGAACACACGAGCCTTGGTTAGTTCTTGATGATTCTCATTAATATGGAGACATTGGATCTACATCCTTGCACATATAGTTGAACACTGAGAGAGAGAGAGGGTTGAGCCATACCATCTCAATGCAGCCTCACAATCTTGCTGGATTGAGAGTGCATACATGCGTATGTAGCTAGTACAACGTCTACTTCCTACTTTGCACCGAGGAAGTTCATAGTGATGATGCATTAGTATGATACTTTACTGAATGGAATATTGAGGTTTGGAGTCGTCTGCCAAATTGATAAGTGTTCTAGATAAGACTGTTATAGACTCTCGTATATAGTATTGATGGACAGATTAGATAGATTGTAAGAGTCTATTACTTTGGATAAGTGGAAGAAATGTATGATTTATTAATTTCTTATATTGAAAGTGGCATACTTCATCGTGAAGTGATCTTACATCATGCAAGTTCTCTCCTTATGGTTCCATATGACAATTAGATGCATGATGGGCATGACTTTAAGTTTATATATTGGACCATATAGAGCTTGAGATTGCACGGAGTGTGAGTATAATCGAAATGCAGATGTGCATAACTAATTTGAAGATTTAAGAATTAATTGATTGGAAGCATTGTAATCCATCACAGTTAGACTTATATAATATCAATCAAGATGCTTGATCAAAAACAAATAAAATACTTGAACATTATGAAAACAAAATAATTTTTTTTCTATCATATGTAAATATTTTTAATTAAATAGTGATAAATAATAAATAAAATATTACTCAAGATTTAAATATATATTATTTTATAATGAACGATGTATAATCATCACATTGATAGGCAGAAGGTAAGTGTATGTTCACAACAACATGTCAATAAATCGTGTGATTGTTAACTAATGATTGAATGTGTAAATTGGTGTATTTTTTAGAATTAACATGTTAGTAATTTGTGTGTCTGTTTGAATTATCGTTATGTCATTAATACACTAGAAATGAAATGAATTATAGTGAAGTATTAATTCTTGTACTTGTTGGTAATGTTTATACAAAGGATAGAATCACCATTCAACATGTACCTCATAATCAAAATTGTGCTATACCTTCTAGTGGATTATTTCTTTAATTTCTAATGTTACAATAGTATCATGAAACACTGGGGTTTAGAGATAAACTCATTCGAAGATGAAACATAAACTCTCAAAATGAGATACTGTAAATGATTATATTTTTTTATTTTATGAATACTGCAAACACATACATGAAAATATATTTTTTTCTCACCGTCGAGTCTCTTCTTGATGGATTGGTGAAATGGCGGATATACCTAATGAGCACACGGATTGCTAATGTGTCGCTCCGATATAAAATAATAATGATTCTTACATTGTATTAAAGTGAGTGAAAATATCATGTATACAACATTTGACATGGATGATGTTCAAAATGCTATCATGGTTGAGATGAAAATGTTGAGAAGAATGATTAACATACAAAACAACAAATCATGACAGATGAAATTTTGGTAGCTGAAAGCGAGAAAGTAGAGAGAGATTAACTCGAAGAGATGGAGGTTGAAACTTCAATTCCATACACACAAATTCATTCAGAATCAAATTTTATGTACACTACAAAATCAAATAGAAGAATACTTTAAAAAATTAAAGATCAGTACAATATTTTTGAATGGAAATGTCAATTAAGGTGAAAAAATACTACAAAAATAAAACAATGAGTATTTTAAAATGTTGAATTATGATGAAAAATATATAATTTGTCTCATTTGCATATTTTAAATTTTCTTGCAGTAATGTTCATGAAGTATTATCTCATATATAAAGTACTAACATATTACATTACTTGGAAAAAAATATCATTATAACGAGATGCTTCAATTTAATGGAATATAGTACATGAAAGATATCTGCGAAATATTCAAGCTATTGATTTTTTTCAAACAACAAGATTGAAATGGTGGGAGTTGTAACAAAAAGTAGATATTCACAAGTACATTTGAAACTTTGTGATTTTCAAATATTTATCATGGATATTTGAATAAAACAGAATACTTGTATTTGTTCAAACAAGATTTGAAATATCAAACAAGCAAGAAGATGATGATATGTAATCCATCCACAATGAATTAAACGGTCACAATGATTCAATAACTTTTAGATTCTTTTGCAATCACACATATTGAATCATCAAGCAATGTTTAAGATTTAGCTAACCTTACATCAATGAAATTGAAAAATCCTTGACATAAAGAATATATAAGAATATTTATATCAAATGAGTTTGTATAATTTTTTTAAAAAAACCATTACAATTATCAAATTTTTGGATTATCTTTCACTTCAGCTTGTGAAGTGATTGCAATTTATTCAAATGAACATAATATCATTTGAGATAAAAGAATCATTTTTTTTAACTATTTCACGTAATTTATGCGTATAAGCTTATTGATTGACTATATTTTTTTCACAAAATTTAAATCTTAAAGAAAATGATTTTTAAAAATTATTTCAAACTCCTGTTTTTTTCACATGCTATGCAAACATACCTAGGATCTGCACTCGTAAATCAAAATTATCAATATTTTTTCAAGCATCCAATACAAAAATTTTTGAATAAATTTTTTTTGAAATTTAAGATATGTATTCTAAATGTGAATAAGAGTTGTTCAATATCAGATTCATTGATTGCTCTACCTCAATTTTCTCACATTTGATGAAAATGTGAAAATCTGCTCAGTAAACATGCTGCTAACGTAGTTTTCATACTTATCTTAATATGTTAGAAGGAAGAAAAAGATTTTGTTTTCTGGAAAATATTCAATATCACTCTTATTTCATTCAGATCGCTACGTATAAGTGAAACTAGTTATGATCAAAAGTAGTCAAAATAAAAAAAATAAGTATATAAAATTAAGATTGGATATAATTTTTTTAAGGAAATATATGTGGTTTTC